TCATGATTACCGAGCCTGACAACGACGGAAGCGTCTCGAGCACGACATGGATGTATACAGGCGACGAGGCCAGCATGGACTCGGACGGCTACGTGGAGATCACGGGCCGCATCAAGGATCTGATCATCCGCGGCGGCGAGAACATCCACCCACTCGAGATCGAGAACTGTCTGTTCCAGCACCCGTTGATTGCCGAGGCCAGCGTCGTAGGCGTGGCGGACGAGAAGCTGGGCGAGAGCGTGGGCGCCTTCATTATTGTCCACAAAGACGTCGAGCCTGTCGAGGGCGAAGGTGGGGAGGGGGATGTGCTCTCGCTGGAGAGCACGGCGAAGGGACGTAGTGAGGGGAAGAAGACACTGACGAGACGTGAGATCAGGGAGTGGGTTGCTAAGCATCTGTCTCAGCATATGGTGCCTAAGCACGTGTTCTGGGTAGATGAATATCCGAAGACGGCGAGTGGGAAGATACAGAAGTTCAAGTTGAGGGATCTGGCGAAGACGTTGATTGCGCAGAACAAGGGCTGATTCTTTGGTAATGGGTGTGTGTGATGGTTGTAGTGGTTTAGCGGCTGAGTGTCAAAGGAGCATTGTGGCGTTGATCATTGGGTTTCTTGTGGTAGGCGACGGTGGTAATGGTATTTGAAAAGAGATGAAACGTTGTATCTAGTGGCTTGAGAACTAATTCAAATATGCAGAGTAACTTTGCTTTCTTTGTGTACAGAGCTTTCGGTAGGAGGTTGAGGTCGGCGAGAGCCTGGCATCGATATAACGAGCATAGCACGTTCGTTGTCCTTGACCAGCCGTCCCTAAACGCATTTCACGAGATGCAGGACCTCGTGTTCTCACTGAAGCCCTCCCAACTGCAACGAGACTCATCACCTGCTCATAACCTCCAATCTAGGTTAGTAGAGCGTAATGATCGTATTCGAATATTAGACGGTACTTACAGGGGGGGACGGCTCTCGCTAGTAACTTCCCTCGGTAATCGGTAGCCACTGGCGTATTTTGAGGTAATCCTTCGCTCCTTCCCCAAGACACCAACCCGGGATCTGATGGTTGGTTGCCAGTCACTCCACACTTCTCGCTATGGGCACTGCGGTTCACTGCAGTTGGAATGGCTGCGGCTGAACCGGAGTAAGCTGGATTGGGGATTTTGCGGGGAAGTTGGTGTGGACAATGTTCTCGCTCGGAGATATTCCTCATAAGGTTCATATGACAAGGCAAGGGAGCAGCAGTCAACCGGTGGTCAGCATACCACGCCACATAAGTAGATGAACACCAGCCTTACGTGAACGGCAATGGCGGCAACTAAGGTACCCCGGATTTGAAAACAGGGTGATGCACGTTTGTGTCTCGTAGACTGGATGGATGGCGGGCTGATGGATAAATGGATAGGTTGCTGGGTGTAGATACTTGATCGATAAGGTGGCTTGAGAAAGATTGAAGTAATCGTTAAATTGAGGTAATGTGCGGACGTATACAGGCCGAGTCGGAGTATGAGTAGTATAGGTCCAGATCCCATCTCATATAGGAACAGTTCTGCGTATAAGATATCCCGTCACTTTAGCTTTTGTGTTTCAATTGAGAGTTCTGCTTCCTTAGGTCTACCTAGAATACTTGATGGTGTTGAAATCTTCCAACATGGGTGAAGTTCAGACCCTAGTAGAGTTACTTGAGTATTAGAGGTATTTCAGCAGCAGTGGAGTGATCTTACTGTGCTCCTTCCTGCGCCAGCGTACGTAAGAAGGTCTACTGCCGCAAGCCTCGTACTGTTATATACGAGGTAATGCGAAGAGGCAAAAACAAAAGATACATTACATGAGACTTATTCTTCGGCTATTATTGTCCTCCAAGCCATTTTGGGTTTCAAGGACCGACAATCCTTCCGTAAGATTCTGATCATATTGTCTTTCATGGAGGGTTGTTCGTCCGTCCCTCACCGCCACGCCACCTCCTCGTCATGAGTACGAGAGATGAAAATAGACTCAAACTCTTCGGTGACAAAGGGCCGAAAGAGGGTGGGAGTAGGAGTGGGAGCGGGAGTGGGACGTCTTCGGGAGTCGGGAGCTTGTGTCGTGTCGAGGATGGGTGCGTAAAGGAATACCTAGGTTGTAGCGGCGTGTTTCTCGTTACGTCCTCGCTTTCTCTTCGTAACCTCTGAAACATCCGGTTATGTTCAACACGAGAAGCTGAGCCGCAAAGGCCAGAAACCCTGAACCTTCTCAGCATCAGCTGCTCACTTGAAACTGACTGACTGAGGAGCATTTAAAGTCATGGTCTGCCTCCTCTCATCTTACCACTTTCCCCTCATCAACAACATCATCCACCTCAGTCATCAAACCAAACTAAATAAACAGTCTCCAAGCAAACAACAGCCTAAAGCTCTTCAACCAAACGCTAACTCACAAAAAAAATCAAAATGAAGTTCATCACCGCCATCCTCACCCTCGCTGCCGTGGCTGTCGCCAGTCCCACCGGCACAAACCCCCCTCAGTGCACGCCGGCCACCTACTCGTGCGCCAAGAACCCTAACACGCACGCCGAGGGTTGGCAGGTCTGTGATGTCGACAGCAAGTGGGTGGTAAGTTCACCCTTCTCTCTTTCTTTTCTTGTCTCCCTTCCAAGACCCTGTTCCGCTGAGTTAAGAACGACAATTGACATGGTGCTGATGACGATGGGTGCATATAGTACGCCGGTGACTGCCCCCCGAAGACTATCTGCAAGTTCTTGGAGGCCAACGGAAGCCCTTATTGTATTCCTGCTACGTGGTAAAGCGGGGGATGAATGGAGTTTGAAACTCGAGAGAGGGGGGTCGAGTGGCGGGTATCCCGCGTAGGACGAAGTTGGGTTGGAATCGGGTGTTATTTCTCACGACACTCCTTTAACTTGAGTTGAAGTTTAGGAAGTTAGGTATGGATGTGCACGGAGGGGACCTGTAAATACTTTGTTCATTCACTCCTTATGATTGATCAGGAAATAATCATTCTCTGATACTACATGGATCACTTCGCCATAGTGGAGGAAGGCATGGGATAGACTGTCACGCTGAGTATTCAAAACACCTTCTCAAGGTGGCCTTGAACTATCGCATTTGATTCCTTCTACCATCCCTTGTGAGCTTTCATCTCCCCAACAACCTCCAGAGACATTTTTACGCAACAGGCCAATTTTTGTTGAAAACAACGCAAGAACCGTTCGAAACAGGCGCAATATCGCTCTGCGACAAGAAGAGGCAGTACTTGGCAATGGACTCCAGAGGGGTATCGTTCTTGCCCGGTTCAAAGGGCGATTGGTTGGCCATGACCTTCTGATACATCTCCATGTGCATGCCTTTGGCAAAGGAATCGACAATATTGATGCCGGTCAGGCCGCCCAGCAGCAAAGCCATGGTGTAGATGCCTTTGTCGGCGTAGAAGCCGGCCGTGTTCTTGGTTAGCGCCATGATGCCGGCCTTGGAAACGGTGTAGGCGGCGCCGGACTGGAAGCCCATGTAGCTGGCGTTGGAGCCAATGTTGATGATGACGCCGCCGGCTTGCTTCTGCTTCTCAATTTGCTTCACCGCGGCCTTGGTGGTGAGGAAAGGACCGGTAAGGTTGATGGCCATGACGCGGTCCCAAAGCTCCTTGGAGCAGTCGCCAGCCGGGGAGAAGTCATCCATGATGGCGGCATTGTTGACGAGGACGTCGAGGCGGCCGAACTTGGCGACGGACGCGTCGATGAGCTCCTGGACCGCAGCCTCATCGGACACGTCGGTTTGCTTGATAAGGAAGCGGTCGGCATAGGTCCTGGTCCACTCCTCCTCGACAGCCGAAATACGCTGCTGGTTGACATCGCAGATGACAACGTTGGCGCCAGCAGCGAGGAAGGTCTCAGCAATCACCTTGCCGAGACCACCGGCGGCGCCGGTAGCGAGAACAGTCTTGCCCTGAGCGGATGCCATCTTGCTTGCAGCGATATGTTAGGAACTATGTAGAGAGTTAGTCGGGGTGAATCAAAGATACGGTTCAGGTGGCCACTCACTGGTGATGTCTAAGAACGGTGATGGCCATAAGAAAGTAATCAATGATATGAAAGACAGACAAGTTAGAAGAGGACACCAAGGCATTCTTATACTCGAGGCTGAAGAGCCGACGCACCATAACGATGTCGTGGTAGACCTGCCGAATTCCTCTCCTGCCAAGTCCGTGGGGTTTGGACATGGTGGGACGGTGACTCTTGGAGTGATAAACGAATACGCTCAAGTTTACATGATGGTGCTATAGCTCTAGTTTAGAACTTTAGAGCAAAACTTCTCGTGGTGGTTCACAACGCCCTAATGAAAGCCCTCGACTTGGCCGCCCCTTCTTTACGATGTTACTCTCTTCGCTCCAGCGGCCGTGCCTCACCGTTCTTTCCATATTAGAAGGGAGGTGAGCAGGCGAGTCTGGACCATAGGATAACCAAGCATCATCTGTTGATTTTGGGTACCACAGACCCCTTCGTGCTGGTGTTGTCCGCTTCATTACGGTCTCAGAAGAAGCCGAAACCGAGCTTCAACATGTGTAAGTGATAAAGAATTCTTATCCGTATTCGCATTCGGGATGGTTGGTGGAGAGGCCGAGTGCATTGAAATTGGTGAAACCCGACTTTCAAGGTCCAATTAATGTGGTCCACGGAAGTCTCCACGACGACGGGAAATGTTCGGAGTGGGATTGATTGACTCGGAAGATGCCAAGGCATAAGTGTATTTGGGAACCTCGATGGCTGACCCCTGACTATCTGGGGCAGGCAGATGGGATTCTCCGCTTTTACTGGCGCTAGGCGCTTGGCGTTGCAGCAGCGGGATGACGTCGTCCGAATCTGGGGCTCCGAATTTTCTGGAGACGGATTAGCGCGCGATAAGGTCACGATAACAAGACGGCCGCAGTCTTTCCTGCGATTCCCAAAACACGAGAGCTGTTGATCGATGCCACGATATACCGATAATCCGAGTCTCGACCGATGAGACACCCATAACACAACATGTCGTCCTTTCTGTCCAACTCATCAAATCAATCGAAGCTCCAGCTTGCGACAGTTGCCCTCGCCTCTGCAGCTGTTACTGCTGGCGCGATTTACGGATACCAGCAATCTCGTCACGGCGAGCGCCTTAATCGCCTAAAGAAGTCGATCCCCAACCCAGCTGGCGATGCTGAGCCCGAATTGCAGAGGGTATGCCAGATACCCCATAATCCAGACGAATTACCTAGCCATTGGAACGCACATACTAACGGTGCCCTGCTTGCTGGTCTTCCTAGGTAACCCGTCAAGGTCCCGTCCCTAAGCTCGACAAAGAAGATGAACACAACCAAGCCCTCGCCCACCGAGCCCAGAATGGCGACTTCGACGACGAACTGATTCTCGAGCAACTAGCCCGCAACCGTGTCTTCCTCGGCGACGAAGGGTTCGCCAAGTTGCGCAACTCCTTCGTTGTCATCGTTGGTTGCGGCGGTGTCGGCTCGCACGCCGCCACCACGCTCGCCCGCTCCGGCGTTTCCAAGCTGCGCCTCATCGACTTCGACCAGGTCACGCTCAGCTCGCTCAACCGGCACGCCGTTGCCACGCTTGCCGACGTCGGGCTACCCAAGGTGCAATGCCTGCAGCGCCGGCTGATTGCCATCACACCGTGGGTGCGGTTCGACCTGCGCCTGCAAAAGTTCGACGGATCGGCCGCTCCCGAGTTGCTCGGTGCGTGGGAAAAGGACGGGCAGATGCCTGACTTCGTCATCGACGCCATCGACAACATCGACTCTAAGGTCGAGCTGCTCAAGTACTGCTACGACAACAATCTCCCCGTTATTTCGTCCATGGGCGCCGGCACCAAGAGCGACCCAACGAGGATCATGGTTGGTGATATTGGCACCAGCACGGACGACGGACTTTCGCGCGCCACCAGGCGCCGCCTGAAGCTCCTCGGTGTCACCAGCGGCATTCCCGTAGTGTACTCGACTGAGAAGATGGGCGAGGGCAAGGCGGCGCTTCTGCCATTGCCCGAGGAGGAGTTCAAGAAGGGCGATGTCGGCGACTTGGCGGCGCTGCCCGATTTCCGCGTGCGTATCCTACCTGTGTTGGGAACCATGCCGGCGGTTTTCGGGTATACAGTTGCGAACCATGTCATTCTTAAGATCTCCGGTAAGTTGATTGAGCAATCATTCCTCCCACCCTCTCCACAACATGAATTGCGCATGACTTACCATCTGTTTCTTCCAGGTTATCCTCTCGACTACATTCCCCAAAAGGCCCGCGACAAGATGTACGACGGTATCCAAGCCTTCGTTCAGGCCAGTGAAGAAAAGATCATCCGCGCCGTGACCGGCGGTCCCCGCGAGCTCTGCATCGGGCTGAAGGTGCCCATCCAGCCCTGCGAGGTCTCGTTTCTTGTCGAAGATATCTACAAGGCCAAGAGCGCCGTCACCGGCATCGCCACGAAGCTCGTCCTGATCAGGTGGCAGAAGCCTACCCGGGACATCCTTATTAGGATAGGTGAGGGCGCGGACGAACAAAAGTCGTCGGATCTGAAACTGTCGGAGCTCGTCTGCATGACCAAGGAAGAGGCGACGAGACACCAGAAAGAGGTGTTGCTGGGCGAGAAGACGCTCGAGGAGCTCTACAACGCTGAAATTATAGAGAGAGTGGCGAAGAGACAAGAGGAGATCAAGCTGTATGAGAAGTACAGATGATTCTCTTGTTCTCGTAAAACTCAAATGGCCTGTTAAGGTCAAATGGTTGATTTATTGATTGTTTTGATTGCCGGCGTCCAAAAGTCACATCGCAGAGATCCAAAAAAAAAAAATTAAAAAATTTTGACAATAAAAGGCGGCCTAGAGTCAAAGCCGAGACATCCTGAATGAGGTCTTTTAAACACAATAGTGTGCGTGCTGCCTCACTTGATTGGCAGTTAAATCATGATCTTTTTGGAGAGTACCTTTTGTCTCTCAAATGAGGTATCTGCCAATTAGAACAAAGAAAAGCTACTTGCACAAAAGTTTGTTTGCAAGGAGATGAATGGGAAAAGAATTAGTCGCTCCTATGGCAGCCGCTTGCAGTGTGCCGATGTCCAGATCCCTACTATGGATATGGTGCTTGTGCTGTCGATGCCGGCCGACTTGATAAAAGGCAACAATGTACCACCTCCTGACGACGAAGGCACCGCTAAGGAGGAAATGGTGTACTTGAACATATTACTTGAAAAACAGACAATTCTTGAAGAAGCAGAGCTTCCAAGTATTGTATTCTTCCTTGAAGATAACTATCAAGAAAGTGATGCAGATTCCTTTCTGGGCCACTGCACTGAGGGGACGAAAAACTCCCAAGAGAAGTTTAGAGGAATACTTGAACCAGACTATCAACCATTGAAGCAAGATCGATAACAGAAGTGCACTTGCGCTTCTTGAAAGCAAAAAAAGCAAATACCTCGCAAACAAACGAGAAAAAAAAAGAAAACAAAATCAAGAATGCACTACATTTGCCTAAGCTCTAAACGGCATTTCAGAGTTGGGTGCCCCAGAATGCCTCAGCAAGCAAGTTGGATTCCGCTACGTGGCTTGTTGTCTGGTTGTCAGACTGTCATTGTCCATCAAGTAGAAACGCCCACTACCCTCTGAATACTAATGCCTATTGTTGTGCTGTGTTCTGTGGTCATTAGGTGGGATTTGCCAGATCCTGGTCGAAAACGAGGTAGCCAGATGTGTCGGCTCTGACGGAATACGATGTAGTGACCGACCGATCAGGCCACGATACTCAGCGCAAATGAAGTGAGTGACTAGGCCCCCAGGTTCAGGGCTTTTCGACGGCGAAGCCGACGCCCTCGCAGACTTTGCCCTTGTTGTAAAACTCGACGTTGGGCAACAGCTGGCTGACCATCCAGCGTGCGGTTTGTGCATGCAGAGTACCCTCACCAAATGGCTCCGTGGTCTTATCCTTCCGCAGCCCGTGAGTGGCATTCTCATCGGTGAGGTCCAGCGCCGCCATGGCCTCCTCGATGCCCGGTCCCGAGACCTTATCGTCGGCCGGATCGCTGTTGCCACGAGGAAAGGCCGAAAGCCCGCCCGCTAGTGCTTGGAAGATGACCAGCTGGTCCTGGAGGAACTCGTCTACCACGCCACCGGTAGAAACTTCGTCGTACAACGTTCTCGCGACCTTGGTCGCCACGCTCTTGCTCATGGATGCCAGCCCGCCGGTTCCTGCGTGCGATGACAAGCTATTGTCGCCCTTGTTCTTGCCTTTCTTCGAGTTGGCTGCTTTCGGCATCGAAGTAAGGATGTCCCTACCCCACCTCAAAACGGCGCCGGCGCTGGCTCCTTCATCATCAGATGGCCACGAGCGCGCGACTAGAAGCACGTAGATTCGCGAGTTGGCCCCGCTGTCCTCCAGTAGCTTGAAGATGACTTCCACGGCCGGGAAAAGGTCGCCTAGGTTCTGGACCAGCGCTTGGGAGAGAGATTCGTGCATGTCTGTCGGTGCGACGATGGAGACATCGATGGCTTCAAGGTCGAAATCCTCGCCTTGTCTATTTCTGCCCTTCATGGTGCAGGCTGTCGGGTTTCTGAGCCGGAGTGAATCGCCGACTCGAATGGGGTGAACACGGAGGGCCACGGTTCCGCGTTGCATCTTTCCGAGGTTCCAGCCGCGTGTCTTGAGCTTGCGCTCCACAACGATACCAAATGCTTGCTCGAGGGAAGGTAGGAGGACTTGGTCCAGGTATTCGTAAGAAAGAGAAAAAGAGACGTTGGTGCCGCCGGAAATCTCCACGTCGATATGCTCTGGCTGATCTTGCTTCTTGCTCGTATTTCCGCCAGCAAAGAGGAGGAAGGGGAAAATTGCCTGGAAGATGAGCAACGTGCTTGCCGCGGCGGAATCGGCAGCGATCTTGACGGTGCGGTCATGAATACCGGTAAAGAGCTTGGAAGTTGCGGGGCTTTCCCGCGGCTTGAACTCTAGTGTAGTGCTACCGACGGAAAGGCCATTAACTTCCGCATCGGTTACGCGAGCAAGCCATTCGATGGAAGCTACGTGTTGAGCTTTGAGTCCTGCTACATTGTCAGCGACTATCTGATGAAGTGCGTGGCTACCGCGGATCAAAGTGCGAGCTGAGCCAACAAGTGAACTCATTAGGTCTGAACCGCAGCTCACAAAGAGAAGGAGCGGGGAAAGAGCGAGAGAGAAAGGGAAAAGGGGAAGTACGAACCCCCGCGTTCGCGGTTTCCCCTCACGTTAGTGATGCGAATAGGCTGAGTGATAACGGAAGCGATCGCGCATGCTATGCGGACCAGCTGTCCACCTCCCTCGCCTGTTCTGCCGTCAATCTCCAGCATCGATCGCGCCTTGGTCTTTTTCATAGCTTCTTTTCGCTGGTGGGGCAACATGTGCTCCGGATCATCTTCACTTGAACGCAAGATGATGTTTGCTGTCCCAGAACAAGTGGGATTGCTAGATGGTTGCGCCATGATCTTTGAACGCTGTCGCAGGTGGTATGGATCCGGCTTGTGCTCGCAGTAAATGTGAGTCCTGATGGAGGGTGATTGTTTTCAGTCGATGTTAAGAACCTGGCGAGTTTGTTCAGCGAGGATGTGTGAATGTGGCTTGTTTTCGCAGGGTTCAAGTTTTGCGCGGTGCGCAAGATGCTGTGGTGACCTTTCCTGGTGAGAGGAAAGAAATTACCCACGCGCGCGTGGGAATTTATCTGTAGGTGGGAAAATCCGAGGACGTTGATTGCATCCCACGAAGGTTTTTAGCGCTTGCACGACCGGGCTATCACTACCAAGTGGTGAAGGAGGCGAAATACACCTTACTTGGGTTGTGAAGTGAAGGTGATGACGGGAAGGTTTTCGGCGAGGTGAGTCAAAGGTTTGCATGGGTGTTGTGCGATGATGTGTGGTACGGTTTGGGGTTAATTGTTTTTCTGGTTCTTTTTTTCTTTTCTTCTGTTATGTTCCCATGACGGTTGTGTGGCGCAGTACCATCAAAGGCAAGGTGATGAGATGACGGAGGGGCGGGAAAAGCCTAGAGTCCTTCATGCGGCCTTGGCTTTTATCGATGCTCCTTCTTCCAGTCTAATGTACTCGACCTCGAAGTCGGTTGTCACAAAGTCGGGATGGTACAAACAACCGATGACCAAATGCAGGTGGCCGATTGAAGCGATGGACTCGAGCGAGCAGCACCAGACTGTGAGCGACGCACGCTGATTCTTGGTGTACTCAACTAAATCTAGTGCTCATTGGATGATCACAGCAGGTCAAGAGGAAAGCGCGTGATACGGAAAGAATACTCTTCTATCCAACAATGTTTTGATGCATTGTATCTACCGTATGGGGGTGCTGACTGAACCTCTAGACCAGTTGGTTTCTTCCGGGGATGATGAGTTACTAAGTTCTATAGCCCCATCCTCCTCTACATGCCTCTTTCCAAAATTTCACGCAATCTATAAGCATATGTCTACCTCTCCTTGGCTACCAACCTGTGTATGTGGCCCCCCAAGGGGCAAAAGGAAAATGCACGATCTTTTCCAATGAGCCGACGAGCAAATCGAGATATTAATTGATCAATTCCTCCGTCGCCTCGGGAACCGTGGCAGGGTATAGGCCGGCGAAACCTTCCAGCGGCCTCATCATGGTAATCAGGCGTGCCGCCATCTCCGTCTGTCTGTCTTCGATGACATTGCAGTTGTTGTGCTTGGCTTCGAATAGGCGGGAGTGGTAGGCCTGACACTCGGTAACGTAGGAAGCGACCCGCGAGTTATCAATCGTAGAGTCCGATACGTTCTGTGCCGGAATGTCGTCTAATAAGATTCTAGGCGGGGCGACATCCTCGCTATGAAGTTGTATTAGGACTGATACAACTTTTCACCCATGAACGATTTAACTGACCTGATGGATCCATTGTGAACGACCATAGAGACTTCAGACGTCTCGGATGACCCGTCCTGTTGTGTATCTTCCGGCAGAGCATACGCCGCCTCTTCTCCCAAGGGTGATGTATCTTCAGAATAACTAGATGAAGTCTGGCCGTCCATGCTTTCTTCCCTGCTGGACATCGTCCGAATGTGGATCGTGCCGACGTGAAAGTATTGGATATGTCTGTCTGTAGCAGGAGCTCTCCACGTTCATAGACAACTGAGATGCCAGGAACAGATGCATACCATAGAGCGCAAGTATAGTTCGACACGCGTGCGACTATGAACCGAAGGAAGAACAATGTTGGACGAAGTAGGTAGATCGATGGGTTCCGCTATGCTGAGGAGTGAACAGTAGCAGCGCTTAAATGTGCATTGTGGTGTGCACCTCCCAAGTTTCCCACTCACGTGGGCGCCTTTCGTATCCATATACTGATGGCATTGTAGACGGACGGGTACCTAGACCACGAAATAGGGCCCGTGTGGTGTCTCGATGATGGCGGTCGTTACGGGGCAGTCACGGTTCACTTGGAGCGAAACCAATGACCGACGAAGTAAGTAATCGCTGGTCCTCGAACGGTCGGAGAGACCCCGGTTCTGGAAATTTGATAGGGCTGTGAGGGTGTTCTACCCAAGGGGTCGAAGTTGGTCACCACTCCTGGAGCATCCGCGGAACGGCGAGGACACTCCCCAACAAAACCCATCTAGGAGACCCTGACCTTGGGTAAGCATGGCCACAGGTGCTCATCTTGCTACCGCCTCACAGCTTGGGGATACTGTGACCTTGGCAAGGCAACCAAGAGGCAGTCGCTCGCGTTATGAACTCGACGAATAGAGTGCAAGCATAGGATGAAGAGAAATGAATAGACGTACCAATGTCGGAGTATTTATGGAAGTCTTAAAATGGCATCCCCGTTGGCAGTTACTGAGTGTCCAACTACATGAGAAAAAGCCTGCTCTGTTGACTGTGGAAGCACCGCTATCTTAGGCATGATTTCGAGGTGTGACGACTTTTTTTGTTGCTTGTTTCCCATCCTTGCTCTAGATGTTGAGTTATGTAATGCACTTGTGCAGTCGGGCAAGGCCAAATCATTGAAAGCAAGCGTGGCTGTGCAGCTCTCTCCTCCAGCGAAGGGTTATTGTACGGGACTCCTCACGATTGTCCCCGTTGAGATCACCGCTAGTCAGAATGGCTCAAAGCTTAGGATAGCCGGCCTTATAGATTTGAACTGTTGTTGATACAAAGAAATATTTATCAACACAGAAACAGTCGTACCTCTGTACTGAAGTATAGCTGAACTTAGCCTCTTCACTGTGAGCTGCCTACAAGGTGATATGATACGTCGTACGCGAGTGTCCCGTCAGAGTGTACCGCATGAATACAGATGAAAAGAAGCCAGGGTTAACCAGCCTCTTTGCAAAACTGGCTCTCCGATCCCACAAGTACGGTGTAAGAGAATTTGTGGGTATCTCACCTCGTTGTGATGGTGACATGCCGAAGCACTCGACCTTGCCAGCTTGTCAAACGATGGGTAACCGGACTATTGCAGTCATTTCGATCACCAGGCGTATTTCGGAAGTAATTTCGATATCAACAATTGTTCACCGCTTTTCTGAAACTTGAAAGGGTTGCCTGATTTAAGGCGAGCCCAACAACACGTCAATGATCTCAGGATTGGTGAAATTGCGGGGTTGCTGAGAGGTAAGTCAAGCCTGAAATACCTTCTAGATTTCACCTGGAATCTCTTGTTGGGCTTGCCAGTGAACGACGGGCTGAAAGGCGCTTGGGTGGCTGCAGGAACGACACCATCGGAACAATGTGACAGGATATGCAGAGCTGTAACGGAGAGGGGTGGACGCGACAACAATTTTATGGAATGTCATGACAGCATATTCGAGTATCAAGAGGTGACAGTCTTAGTCTCCCCTAAAAGTTGCAGTTCGCTCATTGACCTGTTGACTCGTGAAACCCCACAAGTGCCTGAAAGCATTATCTCGTTCTGACGGTCATGATACAACTTGATTTGTTTGTTGAGTGTTGATAGATCCTCAATACAGCCCAGGCCTTATCTCTACATCCGGACCCACGCCAGTTCATGAGGGGCTGATAGGCGTGACGATTGAAAGTTGTGAGGGTTCAAGGGGTACTAGCCATCACTCGAAGGCTATACGTTCACGACTCACTATGAGCTTATAAAATGACGGTGCCTCGTTTGTCCAAATTACACAGCATCGAAATATTGGACTTGTTGGCATCGTCTAGTAAGAGTTACCAATGGCTACTTGAGTGAACCCAGGGCGATCTAGAGATTTTGACCGGAAAATCAACACGGCCTCTCCGTCGGCGGATGTCGGGTCGCATGCTACAGTATTGCAATCCTGTGAACGACGTGGAATGATGATTAAAGACAAAATGACAGGGACAAAGCTCGTACAGTCCTTGGTTGAAGACGCGGAAATGGCGATGAGTATGTTAACATGGCAAGCAGACAAAGGATATCTCTCGTCGGTGTGACCTTTCGACTTGAACAGGTCAAGAAACCCTGGAAATCAGCATCCTGGAACTGGTCAGTATGCTTGTCCTTGGAACGCCCTGCTGAATAGATGGTGATGGTTGACGTAGAGACGTTTGCCTCATGAGCCATGGATGGATGAGAGGTGTTGATTCAGCAATCCAGAAGGCAACAGACCCACCGATGGGCTCACCGCGCGGCAAGGCAAACAGTCCCATTGTTCAAGCAAGGGTTTATTCTCAGAATTGAATAACGGAAAGATGGAGAAGATTCCGCGAGTGGTCAAATGTGATACCGAGGCTGCGACAGCCGAGCCTCCCCAGCACTTTCTGCCAGTAGGAAGGCGAGGAGACATATGTGCGTTTTGAGAGTCATCGGTGACCCAGTTGACGGGCATGGATCATTTCGATTGAGAAGAAGGTTGGCAGCTGTGTGGTGAGGCCGAAGATGTGCTTTTGTTTTCTCAGAAACTACCTTACCTAGCAAGTAGAACCTGGGCGTGTTGGAGCAGAAGATGGAAGACACTGAAGTATGATCTGATCGATATTGTTTTTCGAAGGCGGTTGCGCATGCTGAGTGCGTAAGGCCTCCTTTGTACTACTAGGACAGAGATGGTCAACCCAGTCCTTTCACTACACACTTCTACGGTAAGCACACCCAGTTGCACCTTGAAGACGAAAAGAGGGAAGGGACTCGCACGATGCAACCACTGCACTTCAGCTACCGTCTGAACTGGAATGCGTAGTAGGTGGAAGGCACAGTGCAATATTGTTTGGTGATGTTCCCGTCAGTTATCGCATCACCTCATGCGCCACGATCCAAATTCAGCTGAGCAAAGTCACCTCGAGCACACCCACAACAGCTGGTCTGGCCCCCAACTGCATATATCCCACACGACATTCAAGGTTTCGATGCAAAGATCGACAGCCAGTTGAACTGTGGAGGAAAGAACGAGGGATTGACTGTGCGCTGCGAGTGCCCGCCCTCGATGCGGTAATGTACGTAAAGACAGAACAGACATTGCAGACTCGGAAGCTGAAATTTATGTTGCAGGAACTGAAGGCGTGGCTGCCTCGGCCACGCACTGCAATTTGGCGGCTGGCAAGAAAAAGTACCTAGCGGGAACCAGAAAAGGGATATCTCAGTAAACTAAGTGACAAGAATGGAACAAGTGTCGGAGCGCATTCGGATAAATTTATCATGCAGCTCCAGTGTGCGCAACACCCGAAGTGGCGTCAAGCGAGAGACCTAGAGAATCCTCGAAATCAAGATCTTTAAACTGGCCATCCTCCACCACCCAAGGTTGTCCCTCCTGCTTTGGCGTGTACAGAGCCTCGCAGGCGCGGCCGACAACCAAAAGCCCCGGTGGGCGACTACCCTCCTGTTCGATAGCCTGCTCAACGTAGCGGAGCGTGGTCCGGATAACTCGCTGATCTGGGCAAGTGGCTCTTTCGATCACCGCACACGGTGTGTCAAGCGGCCACAGTGCCCGTTGCTTCTCGCCCTCTTGAACCTCCGCGACCCCATCGGCCTCCCCGAGACGCGTTGTCAACTCCTTGACCAATCCTCCAATACGATGCAGAGCCATCAGGAACACGACCGTACGACTGCCGACGTACTCGGGCGGCACCGGCGGCTTGCCCTTCTTTCCCGTTCCAGTGCAGATAAGCACCTGGTCTGACACATCACGCTGGGTGGCAGGAATACCCGCAAACAGCGGCGCGCTCAAGCTGCTTGTGATGCCCGGCAACACCACGACACGATCGCCGAGCCCGTGCTCCCGGAAAAAGGCCACCTCCTCGCCGCCGCGCCCGTAAATGAAGGGATCGCCCTGCTTGAGCCGCAACACCGTCTTGCCCGCACGAACACCTCCCAAAGCCTGCTCGAGCAGCTCTTCCTGCGCGCGATCGGCGTTACCGGGGAATTTACGGGCGATTGAAACGGGCGTCCGGCGCGGGATCATATCCAAAACACCGGAGGGAACCAACTTGTCGGCGAGAATCAGGTCGGCTGATTGGATGGCCTTGTATGTGGCCCGCGTGAGAAGATCCGGGTGGCCCGGACCGCTGCCGGCGAGGAAGATGCGTCCAAAACGGCCATTGCTGGTGGTGGTGGTGGTGGTGGTGGTGGTGCTGCTGCTGCTGCCACCCTCATTGGCAGCGCCCGGGAGAACAGGTTGTGGTGATGCCGAGGAGTTGTCGCTGCTAAATCCGGGATATGCCTGGAGGATGCTCTCCACGTCATCGTCGGTGATCTCCACCAGCTTCTTCAGGGGCCAATACTCGCACACCTGTGCCAACCACCGCATGCGGCGCGTCTTCGCCGCCTCGGCCTGCACGTCTAGCTCGGTGACAAGTTTGTTAAACGTTGCCGACTGGTCGATGGAGTCGTCGACGCCTTCGTTTACCGCGGCAGCGATGGCGCTCTCTGCAGCAGTCCTGGCCTCTGCGTCCTCGGTGATGATCCTCCTCCTCACGTCTCCAAGTCGAGCACACGCGGCTCCTAATCCCTTGGGTAGCGCAGAAGCCACCTCCCTCCTGATCCTACTGGCCAGCTTGCAGCCACGGCCATTGGTTGTCACGCCGATCTGCAGCGGGCCGTCGACGTGTACGCTAAGGAGGCTGAAAGAACACAGCGCCGGGTTGTCAAGCACGTTGACAGGAATGCGCTTGCGCTTGCACAGGGCTGATATCCGCTCGGCCAGCAATTGGTCGTGTTGTGTCACAAAAACGGCGTCCACGACATTGTCCACCTCAGACCGACCGAGCGTAGTGAGGTCCTCGTCCGCAAAAGGCCGATCCAGGTGTGTTAGGGCTCCAGAAGAGATGTAATTGGCCAGGTTGTGGTGTAGCTCCCGCTTTTCATTCTGTTGTGAGTCCGCTGCTGTTGGTGTCATATCCGACTCTACCGGAGCGATCAAAATGGGTTTTGCGCCCACGCTGAGTGACTGGGAGACTCGGGATGCCGCCAGCGGATTGGAGCCGATGATGAGATGAACATGTTCCCGACAGTCTTGTGCCGTAAGAAGGGTAGTATGGTAGGCTGAAGGAGCCGTAGGTAAATTTGGGGATGCCATCTTTGCCACCTCTGCTTGGAGGGCGTATTGAGGCTTGGACGTGGGTGTTTCTCTGAAAAGAACCCTCTTCTGGAGGAAGCACTCGGGACCGACCAAGTTCCGTAGAGTTTGTGTGTAAAAGACGAGCTTGGTTGCTTGATTGCTTGATCTCGAAGTTATACTCGAGGAAGGGTGATTGTCAAAGGCAAGGTAAATGAAGAATCGTAGGGTATCAAAGAGATGGGATGAGTTGTTCACGGGTAGGTATTCCCCAAAACAACAGATAAATTACATACTCGGGTTTCTGATCGAGGGAGCTTAGAAGTTTATAGGTTACGGGGGTCTTTGACTTTATGTACTCTTCCTCCTACTTACTAAACCTACCTCCGGACTCCGGCCGGTCGGTCGTAGTCATGTCGTGTCGTTTCCAAAAGTCACACTTTCCCCACGATGGGGGCGTCTGGCGGCTGCAGACGTTCCAGCAACTCCGCTGAAAATTGGAATGTAAGTCTACAAAGGAACAGGGGTAATCTTCGCTAATGAGAAGGAATTTGGCCACTCAGAGGGCAGGAATTTTCTGTGATCGCTCTCTTTTGGTTGCAGAATCGACTGAATCTTTTTAGTGCCCGCTGACGCCATTTGGGAGGGACCCGCTTTGGCCGCAGTCGCGGCAATGGATGAACCGCAAGAGTCGGCTGTCGGTCCATGCTTGATCAGTGCATGCATGGGTGGTAACAGAAATTTCGGTTTATGCTGTCGAATAACAGAGTATACAAAGGTATATATAGATTGCTCACGATTACACCAATACCATTTGATGGTTCATACAAGTCTTGTTTACTTGATTACAAGTTTGTATAGGACAGGAATGTATCTGAAGCGGCTCTCCAAAACAAAGATACAGTGCATTTTCATCCTCCAGTTCGATTGGTAATGAACTCCATGCCAAGTACTGTACGCACTGCAATCTCGCACCTCAACATGCCTCGATGCTTAATCGCCGCTTGGAACTGTCAAACGATAAGACTGATAAGATTCCGCCATATGTCCGCGGGCCATGACCGGAGATGCTCGAGTCACGACTGGCAAATACCCGACACACTATCTACCTCATGGAACTTGTTATTATAGCCTTTAGCAATGGGGAGTTCGGAGATGCTCAGTTACTCGATTGAGAGCTCGACTTCCGCGACAAAAATATCAAGCCAAGGGTACATATACACACGAGCGTTTGTTCCAAGCTGGCAGACCACGATACAGGGATTTGGCACGTATCGTAGACTGTTGCTATGACCACTGAACATCAACACCCCATCCTAATAATATTGCTCAAGACGGTTGTTGCAAAGACCTCTTAACATCAAATCAACACGACCACGAAAACCCAAGCTCTCAGCGACTGCTCAAGCAGCTCAAGATCAGCGGTTGAACACAGCTATATTTTCCGCTGTCAAACAAATTTCCTCCAGCGCAACCCTATGCCACTTCAACCCTCCATGTCGTGTGTTGAAAGAGTTCCCCGTCCATCTCAACATGTCTTCAGAGTCTTTCCCCACTAACCCGTCCGTATATGCAGATTCCAGAAAATCGACCAAATTATGTACAATGCAGAAATGAAAAATAGGAAAACAAAACTTTGCTGTTGTAAACTCCAATTTTCCACCAGTCAACCCCCCGACAACACGCCGAGACAGGATATTGATAACTCGAAGAGAGGGGGCCAGAAGATGCAGTAAGACAAGAGCGAATACCGGTGGCGGAAAACAAAAAAAGTTGGTAAGGGAACCACTGCTGGTTGCGAAATCGTGTGCGTCGTAGACAAAAACGTCCGGTATCGGCGTCGTAAAGGCGTCCTTCTTGGGCGATAGCGTGAATGAGCTGGTCGGGGAAATAAATGTAGTTGCCCGTGTTTGCTAGCGGTGCTCTGATCTGCGTCGATCTTGCGTATAAAACGCATCATTGCCTAGCATCGAGGCAAGGCTCGAGAGGACGGCCTATGCTGGGGCCATAATCCGGGTTGTTCGGTCAGCCGTCTTACATGACCACGCACTTTGACTCCTCCCGGTCCTTCTTCACTGACAAAGCGACACGCGCCGCCTCGGTGAAGGCTTCGTTGACTCCCCGGTTTCGCATGGCGGAGCATTCGAGATATCGAAGGGCCTTGATCCGGCGAGCCACTTCCAGGCCCTGGTCGTAGCTGATCATTGGCTTCTTCTCACGCTGAGCACCGTCTTCGTTGGCTCCGCCATCCTCTTCGTCCTCGGTTGCCTCGCGCAGGTCGCACTTCAACGCGACCAAAACAATCTTGACACCCGGGCAATTTTCAGCAATTTCGCCTTGCCATTTGCTTTCGACGTTTTCGAGTGAGTCCTTGCTGTCGACAGAGTAGCAAAGCATGATTAAGTCGGTGTCATCTAGTACACCGCAAGTCAGACGTCACGCACGTAACATGGTTAGCGGCTACCGGGGAATGCGAAGAACCTACCGTATGATAGACTTCGTAGCCTGTCAAATTCTTCCTGACCAGCGGTATCCCACAATGACAGTTCAATATGGACATTGTCGACGAAAATGTCTGAGTCAACATTAGTATCGCATTGGAGGACGCTTCGGTCACTTTCCCTGCAAACGTACCGTGCACATAGTTCTCGAAGACTGTCGGCTCGTATACAGTGGGGAAATAGCTGGACGGGAGGTTGAGCGTAAATCCTTAGATTGCAAGGCAATGGCGGTTCAATCGCAAACATACCCTCTTGTGAAAACGTTGAGCAGTGAGGTTTTTCCGCAGGCACCATCGCCGCTGTTGCCAAGAGTTCCGGTCAGCAATTGACCTCATAGCCAGAGTCTCTCTCTACGCATTGAGATGTCGCCTCGATCAATCCGATACGGGACGAGATTGGGGTGTGTTAAACTCACAGCAAGACGAGCTTGCGCTGCACTGTTTTCGACCCTCCGAGTCCGCAAGGCATTTTGACTGGTTTGTGAAGAAGAAAAGAAATGAGAAGTTGTGCTGTTGCAGTATTGCCGTTTCCGAGTCTCGAAGAAGGGCGACGCAGTGGATTGGTGGACCCCCTTTAGTTGCGTCTGGAGCTCGATAATGAATGTCCCCAATTGGCTTTCTTCAAAGAAAAGGGTTACCGGGATCGAATATGAGAATAAGGATGGCAGGCGACGGAAAGGCAATAGAGACTCTGGACCAACGAGCCGCAGACGTTTAACTATATCTCGCTGGAAGTCGCAAACCGATTGATAATGACGAAGTGGAAAGAGGGGGGCGGCGGCGGCGGCGGCGGCGGCGACGGAGCAGAGGCTCGATGGGGGTTGCAGTGGTGTCGGTCGAAAAGGAGCCAAACCAGAAAGGTAGAGGAAGGCCGATACGGGGTTTCTGGGGTACAGCAACGGGGAACGCTGGGCAGGTCGTAATCGAGGGAAAGTAGTTGGAAAACTTGAAACTGTGTCGTTGTGCGTATGCCGCCGCAAGAGAGTGTGAGTCGCCGGGAGTGAGGCAGCGGGCGGGGGGAGAGAACAGGACGGGAACGGAAAGAAGGGAAAAGAGAAGGGCAAAAAGGGATCAGGAAGTGCAGTGGAAAAGCGAAGGGAGTTTGGTCGACAGCGTATAAAGTGAAGGAGGCAAGTTGTGGACGAAATTGAAGTCGGAGATGAGGTCAGCGAAATTGGAATGGAGCGAGGCAGGACTCGTCGGTCGACCTATTCCTCCGCACGGTGCAGGGGCGTCCGCTGGCCCCTTCTAGCGGCCGCTGCAGTTGCAGTTCCAGTGGGAGCTGAAGCTGAGCCCATAACAACTGGAACGGGTCGGTTTGACACACAGGCAGCCACACTGCCCGGTGCGGCATGCCTGCAGACAACCGGGCCTGTAAGCGGGGGTTGTGCTGTGCGCCCAGCACAAATCGTCAGCAGCGAACAGGTGCGCTCCAGCCACTCGTTGTGCAACAAACTGGCCAGGCTGGCCCACCCCAACCTTCCACCTAGCACGGAGCCAAGTTGCCATGCCGTTCGGGAAGGAGAAGAAGACTGTGGGGCCAAATACTCGCTTAACACTGGCAGGCTATTTGATATTCAGGGATCAATCTCGAACTTCGGTCGAAACCGTCCCTTGCAATCCAATTCATTTATCCATCTCTCTGATTTTGACTTCCTTACCTTTTAGAGTTTTAAATAATTCCTTTTCACTGGCTAGACTACTTGACTGAATGATCACGGCACGATCACGGCACAGAGACTACGTATATACTCCAGCGCTTGTGTTTAGATACCTCGCCCTAACACGACCCGAAACCTTTTCAGTTTGCAGTGCTACTTCGTACTATGCTGTTGCACAAATACGATGATCAACTAGGCTTGATCAAACATCGACAATCCCTCTTCCTCAACTCAACTCGCCCTCACTTGCAGCACAACGTTGTTACCCACACCAGCCTTGCAGATCGGGCGAAAAATGTCGTGTAGTGTATTTCCTGGCTACGCGCAGCATTTGAGCATATGAAATCCAGGCAGGAGTGCGTCATCTTGCCACAGCCCGGAACATCTGGTCTCATGTGCCCTCTAGAGCCAATTGGCTCGCGGATGGAATGAAAGGGTCAACTACCTACCTTGTGCAGCAAGGGCGAGTGGGTTGAGTTGTCCATCCTTACACTAGCTTGGTCGTTGTTTTATTGAACAAAGGGCAGACGGGACGGCACCAATTTGGAGACGTGATAAGACCCGACAAGTCGGCCAAGCCTCTTGTGCCAACTCTGCGAGACTGCCTGACGACTGGGGTCTCGGTTTGCTTGTTTTGGCGAACTTGATATAGAAAAAGTCTTGCCACATTGACTGGCGGTGGTACATAACTAGGTAGCTTTTAGAGTTCAGCCCATCAAGCCACCATTCGCATTCGTAGGGAAATACTTATCCACAGCTGTTGGGTCAATGCCCCACACACAGCAACAGCCTCGACGATAACCCCGGATTTGGCAACCCGGGAATGAGAGACGCAGAATGTCAAACAACATTGATGGCTTTATTGGTGCCTGCACTATACCAGAAATTTCGCACGAACAAGAAGTGTGACGATCTGCCTCGCCCTCAAGGTTGTGTTCCCAAACCACGCAGCGTGGGGCACAAGCGGCTGGGCTGAGAGACTCGCGCACCTCTTAACATTACGTGGAAGCCATGGCGACACAGATTGAAGTCGTACCAGCTTCTTCGAGTTGAGCAAAACTAATTCAAGGAAATCCGCTGACTTATTGCAAAGAACAGTCGCCTTTGTAATTTTGATATTGCTTCCAGAGGGTATCGTAAGGACACCTGTTTACCATATCTCGCATCCATATATCTTACACACCGCGGCTTTGCTCACTTTCCCTTTACTTCTTGTCACCGAACAATCCCTTCTCCAAAAATCCTTCCGGGAGTGGCGCCCGCCTGAACTCCTCATCCTCAATATCATCAGGATCGACATACTTCCCGTGACGAGGATCATCCTGAAGCTCGTCCATGAGGTCGTTCATCTTAACCTTCTTACCATTCTTCGTCCGCCTCTCGACCGGCGCTCTGCCGTTAGGATACTTCTCGCTGGCAGCCAGGATTCTGTTCGTGTTGGGATCGACCGTAACCTCGACCACTCTAGGCTTCTTCTTGCTGCCGAGGCCAGCGAGTTCACGGGAGCGAACGCCGCCGTCGCCCGCGTTCTTGAGACCCGTAGCGAGGTTCTCGGCATTCTTGCCGGCCTTGCCTAGACGGATTTCACGGCGGGTGCGAGTCTTCGCTCCCAAGGCCCACAGGTCACCCCACTTGGCCTTGCGGGCGTCATGGTACGCCTGCTTGGAAAAGGACTTGGGAACCACCCAGCGCTCAATGGTGCCAGCTGGGGTGCAGAGGTCGAGCGTGACGTGACCCTTGCTCTTGAGAGGTGGCATGACGTTGCGCGGAAGAGAAAGAGCGTGGGGAGTGCCGGCTTCAACATCTTCATAGCCCTTGAAGGCACGGTCCACAGCTTCTGGACCTTGGAAGAACGATGATGTAGAATCGGTCAAGTTAGATCCAGTGGACGAGGATCTTACCCCATCTGGGTGGGCGCCTCTGCGAATGGCGATGTAGCTAAACTCGATGTCCTCGTGGTTACGATGCGAGGCACCAAGAACTCTCTGAAGGAAAGAAGGGCGGATGAATCGTTGACTGAAATGGCAGAAATCCTTGCGGCCTGCGCTCTCTCCGGGGGTCAGGTACATGGGGCACTTGGTATGGTTCGTGCAAGGGGCAATGATGTGGCCGGGTTCGCGGATGCGTCCCGATTCAGGAACCGCTGTCATAACCTCGCCTGTCTCCGCAGAAACGGGCGGGATGATGAACTCGCTAAGCATCCGGTCGCGGACATCAGCCACAGCCTCGAAGCCCCGGGGATGACCCTTTTCCAGAACAATGAGAACACCACCCTCGGGATTAAGCATGGTCCAAAGGTTGTTGATGAAATCCTTGCGTTTATAGGACTTGTCGAGTGGCATTAATTGATGAGAAGCGATGATAACATCGAAAACCTTTTTCTGCCCGGGTCCTCCTCCAGACTCGAGCATGCGCTCAGCTCCCTCGGCCGAATGCAAATAATCGGGTAGTCGGGGAAGGAATGTCGTGTTGTGAAGAAACCGGGACACACGTTGTCGCAGGTTTTCGGAACCCACAACGACAGTCTTCTTTCCAACGGGTTCGCGACCTAGAACCTTGCCTTGCTCGCGAAGAAGCTCCCACTCCGCTTGAAGAACCTCCTGCCACGCAGCAAGTCCCGCTCCACCAGCGCCGACGTCGAGAACTCGCGGGCCCGTACCGTTGGTTAGAAGTCCCTGAAGCCAATCAGAACCAAGGCGCTTGCGGACCTCAACCAAAATGCTGGTGGTAGTGGCATACAGACCAGGGAGTACGGTGGTGATATAGGTGTCTGCCTCGATCGCGCTCATCCTATGATGGCCTGCTTGCATTGCCACAGGCTTTTGTCCCAGGTTCTTCTTCGTTGCCGGCGTGGCCGGTGAATGTGGAAGTCCCGGACCACCAAAGACTTTCTCAGCATGTTCGCGGACATGGCTCGGGTTGGTGCGGCTAAGAAGATCTTTGATAGGCTCGGTAAAGGTTGCCTTGGGAAGAAGCAGCGTGCTCGGCTTGGTCCTAAAGATGCCGATGGCGGTATGTGAATGAACTCTGTCGTTGATAGATTGCTCAGGCAAGAACCGCTCTTCTTCATCCTCTTCGATACCCTCTTCCTCTTCATAGTGCCCCACCTCCTCCTTTTGTTGAACCTCCTCTTCCTCCACAATCTCCTCAAGCGGGCGAAGACTGGCCGCCTCAAAGTCCTTTTGCAGTCTCATCAGCGCAGCAAACTCGCGCTTGTTATTGGCCGTTACGTTCACGTAATCGATCTGAGCCTCGGTAAGGGGGCGTAATTCTGCGACGGCTTCTACATCGCTTTCTTCCACAGGAGGCTGCTCGATGGTGTATTCGACCTCTTCGAAGTGTCCAGACTCGGTTTCCACAAACAAAGTACGCTGAGGCCCATTTTGCCCCCCAGCATTGACACCACCAAGTTGAGGTATTCCGACATCCTCTGGTACTGTCTCGCGAAGTGGTGCGCCGTATAGTCGCTCATAGATCTTGTATTCTTCTTCTGTAAAGTAGCCATAGGGAAGCGTGTGCTTGAAAGTCTGACGTGCTTGGCGTACGAACGTTTCGGCATCGTATTCGGCATCTTCGCGGCTTAACTCGGGTTCTGTCGAAGTAGCGCCGGCAGTGTTTTGTGTCGCATCATGGAAAACTGATCTGGTGGAAGATAGATGTCGAACCAAACCGCGACGCGCTGCGGGACTGGTGGGGGATGGGCGTAAAAGTGGCCGGGCAGCTACCCTGGTGCGCTGCTGCAGAAGAGCATCGTAAAAGCTCAAGACTTGCTGCCTACAGCCAGGGCATCGGTTTTGAAATCTGCCCGCCGATAGCATCTTGAATCGCCGGGACTTAATGATATGTTTGGTCGTGGATATTCAAAGGTTTCAGGACAAGAACAAAAAATTGCAAGTATCTTCGTCGCAGAGAAGGGCCCTCTGCCAATCCCAAGTTTTAGTGGATACACGGACCACACGTTCACACGTGACAGTGGCCTATCACCGGCCCCCTATTTACACGAAGAGGGGTTGTCACGGTGGCAACTATGTACGTGGGAACATGAGAAAAGGCAACGAATAGTACCACGTTTCTCGTAATTAATGAAAAGTATGATTTTTCAAACGGGTAAAAGAAGCCAGAAAAAATGCGTGAGCGAGGACACCAAAAAAAACAAGTGCCGCCCGTCCGGAACGCCCTCGACGCCGTGAACTCCAGCATGCTACCGTACGCTTAACGACACATTAAAACTACCGCTCGGTTTAGTTGCCCAGGTCCGACAACGTCTTGAACGTAGCACGCGGCGCAGGCTTTTTACTAGCAGCACTCCCCGTATAGGACTGTGCTTGCGGTGGACGATTCTTCTTGTTGAACGGGGAGCTCTCTGCCGCCTTGTATGGGTCAAGCTGAATAAGGACCTTGTTAGTAAATCTTGTCCAGATTCGAGAGGGGCAGTAATGATCTCTAACCGAAAAGAGAGAGGTGACATAAAGTCCAATGAAAGCTACGATTGTCTTGATCAAGCTGTTGAAATCCCACTTGAAAGGACGAGCCACTGATGTCCCGGGGCGGGACCCGGCTACTCCACTGCCGCCGAGTCGGTGTCCGGCGGTCTTGAACACAGCACCACCACCCGCGGCACCGCTGGCCAACTTGACAGCCTTATCAACAGCGGCGGTAAGAGCTGGTGGGTTGGCTCCCTGAATTGTTTCGATCACAGAGCCGTTGTGCAAAATGAGGAAGGTCGGCATGGCGCGCACGCCATACTGCTGGGCCACTTCCTGCTGGCTGTCGACGTCAATCTTGCAGAATGTGATCTTGTTGGGTTTGGAGTATCTGGCCGACAGCGACTCAAACACTGGAGCGATCATCTTACAAGGACCACACCAGTCGGCATAGACTAGAAAAAGGTCAGCGACATTGTCATTTGGCACTTGTTGTACGGTGGAGTGAAGTGACCTACAGTCCGCGACTACGATGGCTGACGAGCTCAAGATCTGACGCCATTGCGTTGAGGATCCGACTTTAACAGTTGCGCTCATTTCAAGATCTGGGGAGTTTTTGAAGGTTTCCAGTGATAGAAGCAATCGCGCGATGATGTTTGGTGCGGTAGCGATAATAGAATGTCTTCTCGTGATCTGGCCTTTGTCTGTATCCGGGAGCCGGGATGACGACGATGTAGTGTAGTAAGCGCTGTTACACAAGGGGGTTGCTAAGGGGAGGCCAATGAGACGGAGAGCCAGACCTGGATGCCCCGGTTGTTATTCACAGTAATCCACGGGTTAGGGTTATGGTCAATGTTCTAGAATTAGGTAGCATGGTACCTGTGCAGATAAGAAGGCGGTCAAGATTTCCATTTTACTTTGGAATTCTGCCGCCGATCCGCAAGAATCAGCTTCCAAAAACTCTTGTGTTGTCGTCCGTACTTGCAAAGTGAGATTCGCCGTATAGCCATCCACCCGTTTTCCCAATCAATTGTTCTGTGAACACTCAGACACGTACTTCAAGATGGGACCCCCGCAAGATCACTCGTACAAGGTAAGCTTTGCGAATTTGTGTTGACGAAGAGCTTCGGCGCAATGGATTGGATACTTTATGATCTCGGCCATGAAAGATATCATGCCCCAGCGCCCGGTGGTGATGGAATTCAAGGAAGTGGTATTGGCACTGGTGACATTGGCCTGTAATTCTGGGTGATCTTGAGACAAAGTCATATCCCCATTCAGCCTTGTGCTTACTTTATCGTCCATGGCTTTCCTCCCATGCGCATCTCATTCCTGTTCATATCTTCCACCTGTTTTCTTCCATATTTCTACCATATCTGTTCTCCCCCCCGTGACCTGACCGATGACCGACCTACATGATAACTAACTTTTGTCATAGAGGCGGCGCATTGAGGCCGACGAGACTCCTAATTCTGGACGCCAACCATCTTCCCTCAGCGCAGCATCTGCCAAGCCAGCACGTTTCAAGCCTACCGCCGCGAGAGATTGGACCATCTCAGTCGCGGTACCTACTAGTGTCATCACCGATTGCGTGACTCGTGAGCAAAGGACAACATGGGCAGGCCGTATTGCGAGAGCCTGCGCGGTTTTCTCTGTCGACGAGATTGTCATATACGACGACAGCCCGGTCGAGTCTCGACCTGCAAGCACCGATCACGAAGGCTATACCGGCGATGTGGACCCCGCGCACTTCCTCGAGCATCTCCTCAACTACCTCGAAACACCGCCCTTTATGCGCAAGCTCCTGTTTCCCATGCACCCGAATCTCAGGTCCCAGGGTTTGCTTCCGAACCTCGACATGCCACATCATCCGTATAAGGGCGAATGGATGCCGTATCGCGAAGGCTTGACACTGGAGGCTCAACCCAAGGGTGGCAAGGGGTAAGCTTCTCCTAGTTTGAGGTGTTCCTGGTGCAGACACGACAGTTGGCTAACCCCATTGCAGAACCGTTGTCGATATTGGCCTCGAAGACACAGTCACCATTGACGAGGAACTCCCTCCCAAGACACGAGTTACGTTGAAGATGCCCGTGGGCGAGTACGGATCACCAGAACCTGTCCATCCCGCGGTTCCCAGGACCGAAGGCGGTTACTTCTGGGGTTACACGGTTCGCAAGGCCGCGACACTCTCCGATGTGTTCACCCAGAGTCCTTACGAGGAAGGTTACGATTTGAGCATCGGTACATCAGAGCGTGGACAGTCCCTGCACAGAGCTTTTCCTGAGCACAAGGAGGCCAACTTTACCCATCTTCTCGTCGCATTCGGCGGTCCGCGCGGCCTCGAATACGCTGCCATGAATGACCCCGAGTTGAGCAAGATTGGCATTCATGGTCCCCGTACGAAGGAGCTGTTCGAACACTGGGTGAACGTCTTGCCCAACCAGGGTAGCAGAGGTATCAGGACTGATGAGGCTATGTTGATAGCCCTCACCGGCCTCAGGAGATTGTGGGATAACAGCTGATCGGACTACTAAGGCTTTTGTTTTCAAGATTTTAGCGTTCATAACGACATACCCATTGCAGCTGATAGGAAAGATCATATTCTCCAGATATTGATCCAGTATCGTCGAAATACACGATGAGAGCGTGCCGGTAGCTAGAGGGATGGGTAAATCGACCGGTCATCAACACTTCTTGAAAGCTACTGAAGTTTGAGCAAGGGGACGCAAGCAAGCCACTCATGCTGAAGGATGCATGAAGAACCGAAAACTAACGAGATATATTGAGCCGCAAAAACAAGAGACAGGGAGTGTGCCTTTGGCCATACTGATGGCAAACTAGGGCCACATACCACACGTATCGTCTGGTTAGGTGAAACTGAAGAGTTGTATATATAGTCAGGACACAGAAACCCGAAGCAGGAGAATTTCATCTTTGACGCAGTTGAGGCATAACAATACTCCCCCTTCCCGCAAGTCAGCCGTCAATTTTGTAGACTTGACGCGTACGTGGTCGAACCTTTTCTTATCGTATCAGAAGTTGCAGGTAGTGTAGGTAGGTAGTGGGTAAAGAAACTGTGTGCGATGTGGATGTGCAGTCAGCCTCGAGGAGGGAGGGCGTGAACGTAAAGCAGAAACGATGCCAAGTGGAGGCTGCATCCCGTCTTTAGCGCGAATCGAGCCCGCTGTGGAGTTCAAGGTACGTAGTGTAATGTAGTGGAGCCGGGCTATAGACAGACTACCCCCCTTCCCTATATCTAGACTACTTAACCGCTTAGGGCAAGGCTTCTCAGCTTTTCTCCGTCGTACAAAAAAAAAGTTTTGCAACAGGCCAAAGAAGTGCAGAATCCTCAGTTTTCGCCCGGGTAGGAAGATACATTCCGTAGTAATATATAATGAAGTTTTCGCTTGGTTGAGATCTGAGTTTGACCGGACTCATTTTCTTTTTTTCTTTCCTTTTTTTCTCATTTTTTGGGGGGGAGTACATTTGGTGAAAGTGCATTGCCCTGACCAGAATGACAAGAGAGGTGACCAACTATTTTTGGAGGAATCTGCGAAATTGACCGATCGTGGGCTAACAGACTTTCACCTTATTTTTGCAGTGGGATGTTAGCGATTCAAAAGATTAGTCAAATTCCTCAAAGCCATGCCCTAAGCGGTTAAGTAGTCTAGATATAGGGGATGGGGTAGTGGTCGATAGGAACGGTAAAAATGGCATTCTTTCATTTCCCTTACGATACAGAGTCTGACAGACCGTACAGGGACCGTGCTCAAGTCCGTGCACCACTCCCTCCTTGGCCGCTCCTTAGCCAATGCGGTAAGCTTGTGCGCCCTGATGAGAAAAATATAGTCACGCTTGAAGTCACGTGCGGTCAGTATTGGCCTTTTTTCATTACCCTGACCGTAAATTTCGTAACTGACACTAGCGCTTTCTGACGAGTCGACCCCTAGGATGGGGGTAGTCTGTCTATAGCCCGGCTCAATGTAGTGTAGGGAACGGGACGGTGGAGTTTCCAATCTTCACTTCGTGCCCCAACGGAAAGTCAGACCACTGCACTTCTTGCACTTTGTCTTCCCTTTTCGACTGATTATCACGGTTGTATAGAGGTATCTTCAAGAAACAGCCCTCGCGATAACCGCTGTTGCCATTGGTTTTGTCGACCTTGGGGCCCAAGGCAGGAGGGGGCACTGCTGGATTCCTGCGTCAGTGTCACCCAACTGGCGCGTGCCTGGCTTGTTCCTTCCTAGGAGGCCGATCGTGGTAGCGCAGCCCTGCTAGCAGGCACGGCATAGCTAGGTAGGTACTTAGTAGCGTACAGAGAGAATCGTTGCACTAACGAAACCGACAGAAAGCAAACTACGGATCCACCGCGCGCAAGAAAAGAGACCGGAGGAAGGAGTCGGGGCAATGGTCGGTTTCGGGGAGGTGAAGACAACTTCCGTCCGGAGACATACTTTCATACTCCGCTTTACGGAACCTACCGCCGTCCAGTGACCGGCATTACGTTGACCATAAGCAGGAGGAGAAAACAGAGAAGTTGATTGGCCTTGGAGGCCATCTTCTTGTAAAAGTGGAATAATACTGCCCCACTTCTACCCACGAAGGGAATGGAGATCGCTCGCGAAGTTGACCCGCCGTAAGATCCTTGTACTTAAGTACTTGACCAACTTGAAGGAGTAAAATGCTTGCTCCAAGTACATACCGCGCCCACGGGCTTGGTTGTATTGTACAGGTTCATCCGAAAACGAGGACGGAGATCTGACCATCCGATTCCATATCATCCATCAATCGCATCACATGCACCATAGCATTTTCACATAGCGTCACATAACCATATCAGCCGGAGCCAAGACAAGACAAACCGACATGCATCTCCTGCATCTCCGCCTGCCCTACCGGGCCCCGTCTCTCTACCCTCCCTACGCCCTAGCCTCACGCCTGCAAGATCACCTCCGCCGCTCCCTCCTCGACCTCAAGGACAACCGTCCGGGTTCGAAACCCTACACGCCAACGATTATCTCCTTTACCCCCTTGCCCACCTACACTTTAGGCCGGCGCCAAGCCAGTCCACTCAGCGGTGATGAAGCAACACGTCTATCAGCTCCCGTGTATTACCCATCTTCACCCTTAGCTTCGGGGTCATCCCCATTAATGTCAGCACCAATTCAACGAATAGATAGGGAACACGGAACAGTTAAACTCCCAGTCTCAATCCTTCACTCCCCCCGTGGCGGCCTAACCACCTACCACGGCCCAGGGCAGGTCGTCCTCTGGCCCATCTTGGACTTGATCTCGTCTCAACACAACAAGTACACAGTGCGGTGCTACACGCGTCTCCTAGAGAAAACGACCATTTCCACTCTTTGGAAATCGTTTGGTATCCAGGCTTTCACGACGGACGATCCGGGCGTTTGGGTTAGGAGTGGAGCTGCTTGGGCACCATCACCAGAGGAAACCGGGGAGGGGGAGAAGACGGAGGAGGAGGAGGAGGAGGAGGAGGCATGTGCGCTGGCTGGAACTGAGAAGTCTTCTGTAGGTGAGGATGAGGGTCCGTTAGCCAAAGTCGCCGCCTTGGGCGTCCATCTCCGCCGCCACGTCTCCGGTCTCGGTACGGCCATCAACGTAGACATGCCAGGCCCGGAAGTCACGAGGGAGGCACTCAATCCGTGGGCGCGGTTTGTGGCATGTGGCTTGGAGGGGAAGACGGTGACGAGTGTTAGGGGGGAATTGGACAAGGCCAAGGGTAATCCGCAGGCCATGCAAAGGTATGAGGGCATGTTGAACCCGCCTGCTGTGGCTGGTGCTTGGGCGGAGAACTTGGCGAGGAATATTGGGGTTGAGGAGGTGAAGACGGTGGGGGAAGATGAGGTGGTGAGCTTATTGGAGGAGTTGGTTAGTGGGAAGGTCGCACAAGAGGAGGTGGTGGGAGAGGAGGAGAGGGAGTTTGTGAGGCTGATTAGGGAGCAATTGGATCGGGAGGGAGACATGGGGGGCGGGAGGGGAATCTGATGGCGGGGAGTAGGAAGTGGGGGGTATTTCTGCTTTCTTCTCGTAGATGAAGGCCAATATCGTACATAACTCAAATTCACGCATATAAACTATCAGAGTGAAGCATAGGGGAAAAAAAGAAAGCATAGCGTTGTATCTACATACATAGTTCACAGCCGCTTGTGTATGACAAAACGAATGTTACTGTGCCAATCAATGGTGGACAAGGATGTTACCCAATGATATTAGCTACCCTCCCAGTACACGAAGAAAGTATCCAAGGACAGGGAGTGATTGGTGAACGGGCTCTTTTTCGTCTCTCCAGACGGTGGGTGAACTGCTGCTTCTTTTGCGAAATCTGGCTGGGGCTTGTAGAAGCACTTCCACCAGGCTCCAAACTCTCATCTACCAAAACCTCAAAATGAAGTACGTACCTTCTTTCTCTAAGCTACAGCGGAGCCAAATCAACGTTTTGTTTCCTAACCGCATTTCATCAGCAGACAATACATACACATAGCCGACACAACCACCCCCCGGTAATCTCAACCCCGCCCTCACGAGCCGCCATAAAAACAGAAAATGAAAATCCCATCCAGGGTCCACGCGCTGGGACGCTGGAGCTGGACTGGGCGACGACTGGCTGACAAACACAAAAATGGACCGGTTAACGTACCCGGCAATCACAGCCCCCCCCCCCCTCCACCCCTCCTTCTTGTTTTAGCTCCAGGTCCTCCGATATCCCATCTGAGTACCACCACACCACAACGGCATACAACTGAATACGGCACAGGCACGACACAACCTGCCTGTCATGCTCACTCACCACATGCTTGATGAAGTGTCACTCCTCCCATTGGAGATTTGTCCACTGGTTACATACATACACACAAGACTCTGTAGCGCTTACGGCAGTTGATTGCAGCACTCACTCCTCTGATGGTCGTCCTTTCTCGTATATATGATTCCAGAAAAATCTTTGTACATCTATGCCAGATGGACTTTTGTTTTAGGGGGTTTGTACCGATTGGTGGTCAGCTAGATCGTTAGTTATTGCTTGAGGCTACCAAGGACCGACTGGATAATCGAGGTGGATAGGGTAGACGGGAAAGGGCAAGGCAAGCTGGTACGTACTTGGTTGATATTGGACTCGCGTTACATGATCGTCAGACATGACGGTTGTGGCATGCTGCCATGCCTACCATACTGTAGGAGAACCAGGTGGCTGGTTTATGCTCATCTTCCAACTTATTTCTTTGCGCAGCAAATTTTAAATGAACGGCAAAGCAAGTGTCGATGACCGAACGTTGAAGAACCACGAGGTTAGACATACAGCGTGGAACAGTAGTCATAGAAAGTAACATTGCGCCAGCTAAGCTCCTCAAAAAGAACGCTCGTCGCTTTTTCTTGAAAGTCTCGCCTCTCTCTCACCCTCTCTTTCTCTTTCTCAAACTCCGGTGTATAACCCTGTTGCCTCTGACCTTTGTGAAAGAAGAAACAGAAAAAAGGAAGAAAAAAATGCGATATGAATACCCAAACTCCCCTGATGCAGGCCGCCGTCATTAAAACCCCAGAAAAAGCGCAATATTTTCGTCCAGTTCCGGTTGTAAAGTGGAATGGGGTAAGCACCTCTTCGAGGCCCTGTTGTATATGCCTTCACGGCCTCTCAGATTCAGCCGTAATGCTCGTCCTCACCATAGTGAGTCATCTATACACTCCCTCTCTTCCGCCCGCTCCTTGGTGGTGGATCGTACTCGTCATTCTCCGGTTTGTACTCCTCCGGTTGGAAGTTGGGGTTATTGTAATGCGCGACGTTGAAGTGACTGTTTCTAAATGTCGACGTCTGGAACGTCGGTTCGCGCCACGTGTCGTTCTCAACATACTCGGGCATCTGGCAGTATTCGCTAAACCTCAACGGATGCGTCTGCTGAGGTGGTGGCGGTGGAGGAGCCGCTGCGGCGATGGGTAGGGGGGTGGTGACTGGCTGAAGTGATTCCGTTCCGAAAGGGGCAGACATCCAAGATGGTGTCGGGGCTTGGGTGAACGGCGCAAGCGGCGAGCCAAGCGATGGCCCAAGCCCAACGCCCAGTGCCCCAAGTGGCGAGGGAGAGGAGCTGAAGCCTGGCAGTGCTGCAAGGAGGTCGTAATCTCCCGCGGCTGTGAATGGCGGAGCAGATGTGATTTCATACTGGGGGATGGTGGCTCGGAAAATCTGGATGTTCATAGGCGCGGGCGGAGGCGTTGGGTCCACGGGGTAGAGTATGTCGTAGTGGTCGGGCCGGTAAAGTAAGCAGATGACGGGGTCAAGGGGAGATGCCGGCTGGCTGATTGCCTCTTCGGGGAAGCTGTAGGTGTTGACCTCGGAGCCAGGGCTACGGTCCAGATAAGCGATTCTCAAGACGAAACCAACGGGCTTCAGAAGTATGCTGACCAGTGCCTGCAAGCCCAGTTGGTCGATCTCAATATTGGGTACCTCGATCACACGCTGACAGAATTTTTCAACACTGTCATCCGTAGTGATGAAGGCCTCGTGACTGCCGCGATTCTCTTTGAGCCAGGAACTTGCGAGCAGGCGAAGGTGGTAGATGATGGCGTTGGATTTTTCTGCATCAGTGAAGGCGTGCATAACTTCATCCATGGCTTCCTCGGGGACATTGAGCTTGTCCGAAATTCTCTTCAGGAGCTCATCTGTTTCCTCGACAAAATCCACGAATACCATAGGGTCAAAGCCACCGTGGTGCTGGATGTACTCATTAAGGCTCTCTAGACGCTCTCTCTCACCATCCACCTGGGCCTTGTTGCCGAGCTTGATGAGGGTCTCAAAGTAGCCAAAGCCGATTGCTAGAGAGTACGTTTCGTCAGCACTAAAACTCGCAGTATGGCTACCCCGAGCTACCACGACTAAGACTCACCTCTCCAGCCGCAGTTGCCATCCCCCAGCATTGGACGGTAATGGGAGTATACCGCGGGCAAGGACTGAGACACAATTAACACATGCCGCAACTTTTTTTGTCGATTCTCCAATAGTCTTGCTCACCCTTGTTTTCTGGACATAGACGGGATCGGCTTTGGCGTATTCTTCCGTGATGGCTGTGCTTGGTAATTTGTCGCCAACAGGAAGACCCTATACATACGTACGATTCCATGTAAGTAACGGCACACATTTGGAGAAACTGGACGCGAGCCGTCTAAGGGCGATGACGGCTGTTGGCGAAAACCAAGGCAGCAATTTTCTTACATTGAGCTCAGGCTGGTACTCCTGGTACCCTTGGGCTGCGGCCAGGTCGCTATGATCGTCGCCGGTTGCTTCCATTTTAATGTGGTGTTGTTGATGGATGGACGACGGTGATTGATACCGCGGTACTTGAGAATCAAATCGGGAGTGCTGGTATTGCTGTTGTTGTTGATGATGAAGATGATGAAGATGATGTTGCTGCTGCTGCTGCTGTGGGGGAAGTTGTGAAATGGAAGCTGGCGAGGAGGGGCTTGTGCTGCCGCCAACGCTGGGAGAGAGCGAATGCGAGACGTATGAGAGCGGGCTGTGCGACTGTTGGTGTTGATGGTGTTGGCTGTGCCCGCCGTGGCTGCTGGTGTGATGGGGATGGAACGAGTTGCCCGCGTGGGTTGTGAACAAGGGTCGGGATGCGGGGCCGCTGACGCTGTTACCGCTGATACTGCCCCTGGGCCCGGCTGGACCTGGACTGAAGATTGCCCCAGTGGTTCCAGGGGCAGCTATTGCTGACCCAACAGCGGCGGCACCTGCTGCTGTAACGGCCGCTTCCGGGCCGCCCCCAACGGCAGTGTATCCACCTGAACCACTGCCGCCGCCTCCACGTCCAAGACTACCACCACTACCACCACCTCCACCTATTGATGTCTGTTCGAATGTGTAGTCGGGAAGTCCGTGTGCATTACCATATCCCGTCGAGAGAGATATGTACGCTGCAGATTCGGGCTGATACATGTCGACTGTTGATCTTCGTCAACCTCGGAGAAGCTGTTGTATCGTCGCTTGCGCTTGGGGAGGAGATGTCGACAAGACAATAATCGCTCGGAGTTAAGACGTTGAATTGCCTGTGTTCTGTTCTGTATAACGGGTGGACTGCCCGATGAGGAAAGATTATTAGGTGGTATGTATGGTGGACCTCGTTGCTGTTGATGTCGAATTGCTGAGGGCCGAGGGGGTTTGAAGCGAGTCCACCACAGCGCGGCTCGTTCGAATGCTTGGCCGTCAATGCACCTCAATGTGGAGAGCAACAATGACAACCCTTAAGTGAATAGGTCTGGAGGACTGCAAAGGGGTCAAAAAAGACCAGACAGACGGAGAGGAGAGTTAAGTCGTTCAAGTAACGTAAGACAAGAAAGACCCAAGACAGAGAAGGACAGTTGGAGTTCGCAGCGGACAATAATCGAAAACACTGCCTCGCCGCAAATACGAGCAAGCAAACGGAGATAGATGCGAGTGCTGTGTGGAGGAGTGGGTGGGAGGGCTGGCCAAGTAAGTAAAAGAGGTGAAGCGGAGCAAAGGGAGAAGCAGAGGCGAAGAGAAAGGGAAGTCAAGGGGACCGAGGAGCGGGCAGAGGACAGGAGACTCGGAAGTAAAAGTATTGTATATCCGCGGCTCGCCGAGACGAGGCCGGGCAAGTTGCAACGGCGCTCTGGTGGAAAAAAAAGAAGGCAAGTTCCAGGAATGCCTATAAAACGGTTAGATTAGTACCAAACATACACACCCCCCATCAAACGCTACAGTAACAGCTGGCCGACCTCTCTACGGCCACACAGTACCTATCACCACGGGTGGGGACAGGTGGTGCGGTGCCATACCATCCAGGATGGACTACATATGTATTCATTCCACTGCCCAGACTATAGGGTGCAGTTTATTATTGCTTTCCTCCTTTCCTTGTTGCTGTGGCTGCCCTATCCGCCGTTGGCCGTTTGGGCCGCTGGCTACTGGTTGTCCGCGTCCCAATTTTCTTCTCGTCATCCGCCATCAATCCTCTTCCACGCTGTCGTTGCTGGTTGCTTTTGCTTCCTGCAATCCGGGCCATAAGCCCTAAGCCAGCTGTATCAGTCCAAGCGGGCAGCAAGTCGAGATCCGTGGTTTCGTAATTGCACAGGCGAGGCATCTCCTCTTCCCACTCTTGTAGTTCTCCCATCTGTGACGGAGGAGAGAGCCCGGTCATGACTACGATTCGGGTTCAGGAAAATATGTGCTCCGCAACTTTATGTAGTTGTCCGTTGAAATACCCATGGATCCCGGCTGTACGCATGGCGAAACTGGTGAGAGGGACCTAGGGGGAGAAAAAAAAAAAAAAAAAAAAAAAAAAAAGGGACCATCCAGTTTCCCGCAAAGCGTCGGAAGTCAACCAACCCTAGACGACCAGCAAACGCACTGGTCCCCGGAAGCGACGTCTTGGCGGCACCATGGCTCCGTAGTTTTCTGCAACATGACGGGGCCCGGCCGCCGGTGTGCCTTGTGTCTTCTGGCCTCTTTTCCCATCCGCCACTGTAATTGCCCGTCAACTGCTCAACAGAAAAGAGGAAACAGGCAAACAGTGGGATGGTCGCTACAGTTCTGTGATGATTGGAAAAAACAAAAACGAGGTTGGTGTTGTGTCTTTAATGAAACTGGGTCAGCTTTATGATGAAGCGTTTTACATAGGATTGGTACACTACCTCTACATAACTGTAAACTGTACCTGTGGAAGGGCTGATCTTGTCTGATGAGCAACAGCGACCTAGCGCATGTTTTTGTCCCCTGATCCCAGGCGCCAATGCGGAGGGCCGCTGCGAAACACCGTGGGATCTGGGGAGCTAGGCAGGCTGGCTAAGCTGGGGGGTTCTAGGATGTGTGTAACCACGGACCACAGCATTTGTCTCTGAATCCCGCTTGAAGTAGTTCTTATCGACACCCCTCTCTAGCTTGTCTCTGTTTCTCTGCACGCCGGGCTGGGCTCAGTCAGCAGAGCAGCTAGGACACTCCAAATGGTATCGACTTGTAATGCCCGGAATCCACTATGCTTGGCTGGAGCCTTCGGAACGTTTACTTGCCGATATCATTGCAAGAACGGGAAGGGCTCTGGAAAAGGGGAATGCGGAGCATCATCCTCTCCTGGTGATTGCTATTGGTGTCTTTTACTGCATGTATAACGACCTCCTTTGCACGGTAGCGAACCCTTACCTAGCCTGCCTAGTCAGCTAGTGTACTCGAGTCTTGGAGGTGGTGTGCTGGTGTGCTTAACCTGGTTCTGGGCCACATCACGTCGACTGGTCCCCTTCACATTGGATCTGTCTGGCGACTTGATGATCTGTGCTGTCAAGATTCGTCTTTTCGTCTCCATTCTTGCTGTGTTTAAGGATGTTTTTTCTTGTGGTCTGGACATTCGCAAGAGGTAGCACGATGCCACATCTAGGGCCAGACCCTTTAAGTCCTTCGTGCCAGGTCATTGATAGGATTGTTTGTGCCTCGCACATCCGCGTCTTCGGATGGGAAAAGCGTACATGCATCGGCCAGGTACGTGCATTGCCCCTTTGCCAGTCGATCAACCGATTTGATGACCAATACCCCGTGGGTGAATATCAGGGTGCCGGCTTGTCCACGAAACTGGTGTTTCCACGTATTTCCACTCAATAGTTCGTTAAAGATATGAATGAGGAGGTGGCTCAATTTTACAGGACTGGCAAGGCATTTCATGAATATAAGAGAGTTTCAGACGGTCCAGTACTTGGAGCCGAACCTCAAGTGACACAACATCGCCGAAACCCAATCTCCCATCACCACGCATAAAGCGGCCAACGTGATAGTTGATGGGACCTTGAGCGGGTCAATGCGCCTACAGGGCGTAGTAGCTTTGCACAAGGTGGCACAGTCTCCAGAGCCTGTAGAAAGGCGCAACGAAGTCCGTTAGCCTTTCGATACCCAGCGCCGGTAGTCCAAAAGCATAAGAGGATGATGAACCGGTCATAGTACGGTCATGTCTGGAGATCCAGGTCGGCTTGATTTTTGAGCATCATATTGACCCGGACGGAGAAAGTCGGCCACTTCCTATGATGCAATTGGTGGGAGGAGTTGGCTTTCACCTCCAGTTCTGGTAGCGTAGGTTTGCCCATGCCGTTACAGAGAAATCCACGCTCATATGGTGGGAATTCCACCTGATGACAATGTCTGTTATGTCAGCTTGAAATGTTAGTAAGCTCAGCCCATATTATTCCCAGGACCGACGACACAAAAAATGCGGCCAAGATGTGGCACGAATAAATCTAAATTGTAACCGAAGTTGGTGAGGTTGCTTGAATACAGTATGCTGTGTGAACGAGCAGGGGAGAGGGTTAAGGTGGTAAAAAGCTGAAAGTGATTAATGAGGAGGAACGGCTGTGGTCGATCCGCTGCTTGGGCTCGTTGTTGGTACCAAGCTCATGGGATCGTTGGATTCAAAGCTATGCAGAGATTTCTTCAAGGGTTCTGAAGAATCGCCATTGCCGAAGGCGAAACGCACGAAATGTGAGACATTAACGGGTAGCGATGTACCGCTTATCCCCTAGTATTTCCCTCGTACTTTTGGTATTAGATTTTTAGGTTCATCGGTCGCTTATTCGTAAGCTATGTTGTCATCTTCTCACGGACCATATGTTTGCCGCCTGGAGTGACTAGTCAAATTGACTTGCAACACAACATGTATGGCGGTGACCAGCTGAAAACGTGGGGTTGAACAAGAACAAGGATCAAGTTGATGATATGTTTCTCAGATCTCATGCGCAGGACAGCATCACGTCGTGCTTCTTCTGGCTTGTGAGTGTCTGCGCCAGGGACTGTCGTCGTAGATGAAGGCCAATCCAGGAAAGTGTATATCATATGGTGGCTTACACCTTCTGCCAATGACGGACCATCGACCTGTGCCAAGACACTCTCTGCTTGATATGCGGCCGATGTCCGCACATCGTGGGACAAGCGTCCAGAGAGGTTGTCATGGTAGCAGCGCTCATGGTGCTGCTCAAACAGGGGCGGCAAACCCGGAACACGGCTGAGCACGACGTCGTCTGTCGTTGACTGGGGTCTCACCAGAACACATATCATGTATGTGATGGGGTTGTAGGGTACATCTCCGGTGACGATGACACTACTTTGACGTCTTTCCTGTCGATGGCAGGACTTGGAGCCTGTCATTGACAGTGGTAGCAAAGAATTTCTCCAAGTTGTGCAGGTTCAGGGAGGATGTTTCAAGCGCAACGCTTCAACAAAGGATGGGATGGGTCATTGTGAAAGAGCGAGCATCTTCCCCAGACTCGTATGTTGGATGGCAGCGGAGACGACGTCGCTTGTGGTTAGGTACAGAGGGTGCAGTCGTGGGAATGGAGATGAATGCAAGTAAAAAGAGGTGTGGTTGCAAACTGCAAACTACAAGTCACAGACTTTAAAACCGGATGTGCTGTGCGTACAATATAATATCTCGGTAGCTGGTCTTCTCCCACTTGCTGTACGATTATTGTCGACTTAACTGTAGCGCTAGCAATATCTCGTTGCGCAGACGCCGCTTCGAACTATCCAACGTCTCTTTATTCCCAATTTGTGGATCATGCCAGGATTATGAGCCAATCCAATTGGCGAGATGCGCTGCATACTATCGCAGTATGTACATAGTATGTAATGTAGCCAAGAGCGGGCTAAAAACACGCGCATAAGGTGTACATAGCATTATAGCCTTCCCTGCAAGAAGGAATGAATATGTGTAGCGGTACTAGCCTCCGCTACCGGAGGGGACACTGTGCACGGCATCCATCCTGTACATCAAGGTACTAGAACTATGTGAGGTGTGTGATGCAATGGGTAGGTAGGTAGACAGGTACCTATGTAAAGCGATATGTCGTTTTCACTCTCCTGACCTGTGGCTTACCGTCTTGGAGTGTTACCTGCCGACTTACCTCTAGCTCCGTCCATATGGTGAACAAGTGGAATGAAAGTCTGACGCATCACCCCGGGTTTGTTCGTTAGCTCAGTACCTACCTCTACTTGCCGGTATGTTTAGATCCCTTCTGGCAATTTCAGCTAATGCCCTGGAGCAGATTGCGCGGATAAACCTGGTGTGACCCTTTTACTCCCCTGTAAAGGATGTGGGGTATGTTCCGCGCTAACTAACAAACCAGCATTGATGTGTACTGGACACGGCCGAGTTGCACAAGATTTGTGCGATGGCAACCTCTCGTTGTCACGTAACACAAAAGCATTGATCGAGTTTCAACACCAAGCTTCCTCAGACATGAAAGACATGGTACACTAGGCTTGTCCCGTTCCCCGCCACATAGCTTTTCGGCAACGTATGCAATGACACTGCTGAGACTTCTACCTACAGCTCACTTATTACACTTTACCGCCATGCTCTTTTGGGAAAGCATCTTTTTCCATAGCCTACCTACGCGAGCCATCGACCAGTCAAGCCCGCAATGATATCGATCGGGCTCTTCTCCGTTATGGACTGCTCTGGTTTACGTTTTCTTATGCTACAGTAACATCATGTCCTCTTGGCCAGCTGAGAGGTTGGCTGGCCATGCATGACTATGAAGGCCTAACCGAACGGCTTGCCGCAGTTATCACTCGTTGGCGCTGAATGAACAGGAACTTTGTGTCCAGTGGTGTTGTCTACAACCACGATGGCTTGCCGAAGAACACCGTTGTCTTGATCCGAAACGAAGTTGAAGAGGGTCTGGTACGGGTGAGAAAGGCGGGTCTTACCATAGTATTGGATTCCCGGAGGACCCTTATCATCGATGTCAATGACAAACATCTCCGAGGACGCTCCATTTTCGATTCGAGATAACGACGAGAAGGAAACAGCGGCAAACAACAAAAAGAAAAAGAAAAGAAAAAACATCCCAGACGCCGGGGGAGATCTGCAAGCGGCCCCATACAACCGCCCGCACCCCGAGGTCACTGGTGATGCGACCAGGCAATTCTTCCCTGACAGATATCCTGTCACGTCCGTGTGAAAGCGCAGTCAAGGCCAAGGCAGAAGTGGAGGGCAGAATATTGGCCAGAGAAACTAGTATTCGCATCCGGTCTGAGTACGCCTTGTGCTGCAGTGCCAGCAACCGATTCTCCTCGGCTGCAACCTATCTGCAATATGCTGAGCTGTGTGTGCCCAAAGGATCGCATACGCCGTTGGCGATTTCGCCAACTTGCCGTTACCCTTTTTCGATATTTGATATATTATTTGCATATCGTTATGGCTTGTTGACTACTAGTGTATTGGCATTCATACATCCGCTCCCCAAACTGGAACAACCCTTATGATACAGGAGAAGGTGGGGAAAAAAGTAAACAAAGAAGAAAAAGAAGCCTCGTGTGTTGTTCTGCCCTCCTCCTTCTCCTCCCACTCCACCGTCTCCCCTTCATTCCTCTTCATCTTGGGGGTCAACGCTCTCCAGTCCTTTCAACAAAGACGATAACACGCAACAAGAGTCGAATTCCGAGTCACGTTCTACGGCACGCTACTGCGAGCTCCCGCTCGTGCAGAAGCTTGTCCCACCTATCCCGTGTTTCCATCTTCATCGTCCTACCTTGGCCCCTTGATCTTTTTTTGGTGACCGCCCTTCATGCGTTGCCCGTGTGCCCGTGTACGCGTTTCTGCCTTGGCTGCCTTTTTGCCTGCCTTTTTGCCTTTTTGCTTCCCTGACACGGGAGACTCCCAGAGGCCATTGTGTGAGTGTCTGTTGTCTCTGAAGAGTTTATCGAGTATCAATTCATCAACAAATTATTCTTTCTCTCTTCTTAACAAACACATACACACACACACACACACACACACACACACAGCCCAGCCGTTCCCTAGATCCAGACCTTTCGACAATGAAATTACCCTTACCTTTGTCTCAGTAGGACGGTAGGGATATGTAGTACGCAAAATCCAGTGTACTGTACAGGCTGGGCAAAAAGAGTGTAGTGTTGGTTGCCCACATCACGGATGCCGTCGCTGTACAGCGTAGTGCGTAGTGCCTCAAACATCTTGTACACACAAGAAGTTAATATTCTGTATCTACTGAACCGTCAACGCCAACCGACAGAACCGAGAAAAGACAAGATACAAGACACAAGACATACCAAGAGGTGGCGTAGGTAGGACCCCCGAACACCAACAACAGTAATTTACCTACTTACTCACACTCGCCCACTCACTAAACAACTACTTACATCTGAAGTTCCACCATACAGAAAGATATACCCCCCATCCATCCACTGCTCTCTCACTTCCCTTCCCGTGTCTCGATCTTTGGCAAGATGTAACCCCAGCTTTCATATTCTTGCCGCTCATACATGCAAGTAATATATCGAGTGGATGTATATACTACAATAACGCAGATTTGTTATTGACTTATTATTCATCACCCCGGACCCTGGACCCACCCCGGGTCGCAGCATCTTGAAATCATGATTTCTGTGCCGGCATCCGCGACGAAGGGTCAACAAATCCGACGGACTAGACAGTTTAGTATCTTGCCCATCGCATATAGGCAGTTGTGTGACGGAAGAACAACTTGCAGACTTCCTATACTTGTATAGCTGCTCTTAGTGCCCAGTGGAATCATGCTTAATAAACTCACGTATCATTGCGCGTCCTTTCTTCGTCTACGTAAAGTAGATTTCACTCACTCGTGAGAAGTTGGTTAACATACATTAGCGCGACACAATCTATATTGTGGATGTAGCACAGAGTCACCACCTTTCGGTTCCAGATCACCATACGGTTGAAAAAGAGGCGTTGGATAGTGGCCTCCTTGGTGTCACATGGGTTACGGCTTGTTCCGGTAGAGTTAGGTGATTATGTCGGAAAGGTGTGGAGTGTGAAGCAGGTGTCTTGAACAGAAGGAGATCGGAAAGTTGCGACGTATAGTTCGGACTTTATCAGAATCATCACAATCGCAGATATACTAGCGGTCTCCTGCCAGCTGGGCATCTCGGTCGAGTGAAAAAAAAAAAAAAAAAAAAAAAAAAAATTGGGCGTTAGGAAGACAGATTTCTATTGGGAGAATTTTAGCTGAAACGTTTCGCGAGTGTATCAGGTGGCAAACCATTTCACAAAGCGTTGAATCACCCAAAAACAAGAAGAAGGCAATCTGCTTCGGTGCGCCGGGAAATCTTTAGGGGAAAGACAAACCAGTCGAATTGGGTCTCAAAGCCACCAGATGAGGTCGATCAACGTTAAATAAAGAAAATGAAAGCCGACTCAGAAAGAAAGCACAAAACACAAAGCAAAAAAGCTCGGCTGTCCAAGCATGGAGTTGAACTTGGGGCCAGCTGCATGCCCGCGAAAACACCATGCATTTTCTGGCTATCAGCACACCTACCACGGTCGGCTCCCGAAAGTTGTTGGAAGGTCTGAACCCGTGGTTCACATGGTCCCAGTGAAGAACCTGTCGTTGAGTGAGAGCCTAGGGCCCGCCTATATACCGATCTGGAGATTCTTGGGCGTGAGAGGTTTTAATGGAAATGTACGGCTTGGATACGTGATCTGGAGAAATTTCGAAGCCAAAGGTCAAAGTGCAAACTGGTTCCGTCCTTCACTACCATAGACACTTCGATACAGCGAATGATTACCATCGAGAAAATGATATACGCATTGATTCTACCCTCTGATGTATGATCCTTTATGCGCCGGGTTCTACTTAACCCCCAGTGTAGAACTAGCCACCACCCATTTTACTCTGTGTTCTACATCAGGACATGACCTTATGTCTAACCCAAGATACCTCGACTCTTTTAAAGGTGAAATGGTCAGCTAGAGCCCCAACTCCTGGTATGGAACCGCCATGAAATCTCTTGACGCATCTCAGACTCTTTTGTTTTCTCAATATGCCCGCTGTGTGAGACCCACGCGGCGGCCACGTTTGCCAGAGCCCATCGATCGCATTGTGTCGTCCAAGGAACCAATGTCAGCAATTTGATCTGCCATGGAATTCATAAACTCCCCCTGGCCAGACTGAAACCCGTCGGTACTCTTGAAAACCGCATTGAACAGATTTCCAACGGCCTCGGAGAGAACAGTAATGGCCTGGACATGATCTGCGTCTTCACGGGACTCAAGCTCCAGCACACCCTTGTGTTCATCAATGCGGCCCTTGACTCGCCCATCAACGATCAAGAAACTCAGGATGTCCATAACTTCTGGTTCTGTTATACGCAGCCTCTCCGCAAGCCAGCCAATACGCATGCGGGTATATGGGGCAATAAGCTTAACCACTCCTTTGGTGCGCATGTTGCGCGTAACCTCGTCAATGTTCTCGGCGATAAACGGATCCGCTAGCAGGTCGGTGTTCTTCTGAAGTACATCCTCGTATCTGTAAATATCATCGCGCTGGTATGCGTCCACAAGCTCCGTCATGGCGGAGATACGGGGGTCGTTCCTGTAGGGCTTCATCTCTTGGCTGTCAAAGGGGTTGATGTCCGACTTCATCAGCATAGTCGTCAAGAGTAGATACTTAAGGACCTGGATACGGCGAAGATCACCGGCTTCATCGTAGTTACGGAATGCCTCGAAGAAGTCGCTCTGGGCCTCCTTCCAGTTTTCCTCACTCATGTGCATCTTGCCACCACACTCGCGGATGACGCCCTGGATTTTGGGGTGGGGCACAGCAGACCGCACCTTCAGGGCCTTCTGATAGAGGACCTTGAGCTGGTTGTTGTTGCGTGTTTCGGAGTACATTTGAATTTCCAGGGCGTAGATTTCCAAGGAATAGGTGCCCTTGCTGGGGTCATCGGTTCCGTCGGGTTTGCGGCAGGCATTATGAAGCTCCCTCAGCTTGCGGGCGACTGCGTGGTAATCCTTACGGTCGAGCAAGAGTCGGGCAAGCTTGATATTCGTCTTCAACCACAGACGCTCGTTGTTTGTGCTCTGGAAGCACTGTAGTGTTAGGGAGTAGAATTTCTCAATGCACTGCACGGCTTTGGGATCGTCGTATCCTTTCTCGATGTAGTTGAGCATGTTGTCAATGGACTTTTCGGAGTAGTTTCTCGTTACGGCCGACTTGACATAGGTCAGGAGTTCTTCGTAGTGCTCGGTTGCCTGTACCTCTGTTTAGCTGTGGGCAAGTACAACGGGCCAACATTGGCATTACCGACCTCTTGGTATCGCTTGAGTTTGAATTCAAGCTTGATGGCCTGTTTCAGTGCTTTGAAGCCCCAATCTCCCTTTTCCTGCTCGAGCGGCGGTATGCTTAGGAAGTCTTGGAGAGCTTCCTCGGGATCTGATGTTTTGGTCTGCTTGGCATTGTAGTACTTGTTTTCGATATCGACATCGCCGGTATCCTCCTCCTCGTCGTCTTCGTACTCGAAGTCATACTCCTGATCGGAGTCTTGCATGAAATCGTCGTCGGACATGGTTGCTGACGTAAACGAGGACGTGAAGGTTCCGGTGGTATGAGAATGGGAGATTGAGGAGATTGAGGGATACTGGAGAAAGAATGCGTACTTTTGCGTGAAAACCGAGGGCTGTTGTATGCGGTGACGAAGTAAACAAGACTGAACGTAAAGTGACAAATGGTGGTCGGTGTTAAAAGGGCACAGGTGCAGTCAGTGTGGACAGTGCAGTGGTCGCGCTGCCTCTGGTTGTAAGGCTGAACCTCGAGTGGGGATGAGCTTCGTCAAGCGGAGACAGTGACTGTGGGGTGTCGCTTTATCTATTGGTCAAACACCTAACAGCAAACGTCAAAAGTCCAACCCCTGGGGTGTAGTTGCATACCTAAGTACATAGCCTGCAGTGAGTGCCGCATTGCCCAGCAGTGGCCGGGGCGTTCTCGCTGCCTTATAAAAATTGTCCCTGACTTGTACGTCAACTAACAGCCAAGCAGGCGGTTTGCCACTCGACAACCATTCCCTTTCCGTCTCCCAATCCTTCACAAGTCCGACCGGCATCGCGATTCTTAGTTCGCCGACAGGCCATTCACAGATCCGTTACGTCTATCGATTTCCGATCAACCGCCCATTTTCCCCAAAACTACCACAACAACAACAACAACAACACCATCACCACTACTCGCCTGCTGCATCAGCAGCACCAACACCGCCAAGATGGGTTCCGGAGACCTGAATATGAAAAAGAGCTGGCATCCCCAACGATCGGGGAACGTCGCCGCCACCCAAAAGGCCGAAGCCGAAGCGATCGCCGAGCGTAAGAAACTGCAACAGCGACTACAAGAAATCGAAGAAGAGCGGCGCAAAGAAGAAATTCAGAAAGCGCTCGAAGCCGCCGGCGGCAAGCGCAAGATCGACCGCGTCGAATGGATGTACAGCGGCCCGACCGACGGACAGGCTGGCGACTCTGCTGAAACCGAAGCCTACCTGCTCGGCAAGCGGCGAATCGACAAGCTCCTCCAGGACAATGATGCCAAGAAGGCGCTTTCGAAACAATCCCAGCAGGATCTTCTGTCGGCGGCCGGCCCGGCGCCGGTGGTGACTAATGCGCGCGACGTGGCGACCAAGATTCGCGAAGACCCCCTGCTTGCGATCAAGAGGCAGGAGCAACAGGCGTATGAGGCGATGATGAACGACCCCATCAAGCGCCGACAACTGCTGGCGTCTATGGGAATCGATGACTCGCAGATCGCCGCTAAGGGAGGCAAAGAGCAAAGACGACACAAACACCGCTCTCATCACCACCGCTCGGATCGGCATAGGGATCGTGACGATGACCGCGACCGCGACAGCGCCAGAGACAGAGACAGAGATAGACAATCCCGCCGTCGCAGGTCTGACTCTCGAGATCGATCCCGGAGCAGGAGCCCACGGAGGCGCAGCGATTCCGAGGAAGACCGAAGCAAGCAGCGCAGACGAGACTCGCCCGACCGGACAAGGAGGCGAGACCGGGATCAAAGCAGAAGCCGGGGAAATAGAGATAGGGACGATGACAGGTCGCGGAGACATCGATTCCCCCAAGGCCGCTCTCGCTCCAGGTCAGGGTCACCTGGCGGCCGCTCCTCACGAAGAAGGGAGTATTCCCGAGAGCGTGAGAGTGGCGGACCATCGTCGCGTAGGGACGACCGCAACAGCCGTGATCAAAACCGACCACGCAGGGATCATGCAAAGGAAGATGAGCAGCCAAAATATGACGGTGGGCTTAATAAAGGTGGCAGGCGGCAGCAGCAGCCAGACGGGGACCACAAAAATGCGGAGGAAGAGCGTGCTAAGAAGCTGGCTGCCATGCAAGCGGCTGCCACCGATCTGGACAAAGCTCGCGAGGAGCGGCTCAAGGCCCTTGCGGAAGCAGAGCGGGCGGAGAGAGAGGCGGATGAGAAGGCGCGCCAGCAGAATAAGAAGTATCGTGGGGGTGATGCTGGGTTCATGAGCGGCCTGCACAGTAGGGCGGCGGACATGAAGATTGCAGACCGCATGAATGGTAGAGTCTGATTGCGAGGGAATGGTTTTGTTCTGGTTTATACTTGATGATTAGATACCCGGTTAGAATGGATACATAAGCGTCGGATGGTTAGACAATGACACTGGTATTGCAAACGCGATAATAATACGCAGGCGAACATTGATGACAATGCAAATTGTAAAGTTTCCAAAAGTATGCTATAACTCCTGTATCATGCCATGATGTCCAAGAATAAGCCTTGGCAGACCTAACAACACGACTGCCCCAGTAAATCATTCGTTCGTAACTCTCCAACCCAAAGCATTTAAGTGCTCTCCTCGGTCTCTTCGAACATGACCAACACCGTTCCAGCCTTGCAGATGTCCTGCAGAAGTAGGTTAGTGACTTATTTTGTACCATTCGGAGACGGCTGTACTTACTCCTTCCTTGTGTGCCAGCTTCTTGATTACGCCGCTCTGTGGCGACCGAATAACCGTCTCCATCTTCATCGACTCAATACTGTACAACCCAAGGAGTTAGTAAGCTATCCAAGCCAGAATGGGGTATCGAAAACTCAAGTACTTACACAACCAACGGGGCACCCTTCTCCACCGACTGACCCTCTTCAACTTCATTCCTCAAAATCTTGCAAGGCATCGGCGCCACCACGCTAGCCGCAACTTCCTTCAAGCCCAGCGCCTTGTCAAACCACACTGGGCTGACGAGTCTTAGCTGAGTCTTGTGACCAAGCTGGAAGACTGTCAACTTCTCGTTATCCGCAGGGTCCTGGACCAATGTTGTGTCGACCCTCGCAAGAGGGAAGTACGTAGTCAGCTTGGTCTTCTTTGCTGATGAGGTCGGGGCCGTTGTAGAAGTTGACTCGGACACAATGTTCTCAAACACTTGCGGCTTGTCATCGCCCTCCTTGCGGACAGACACGTTGAACAGCTTGTTGTTCAGCTGCGCAACTTCAACCTCGACGATCTTGCCTTCCTCGGTACTGGCATCGTCTTGGACACGGAACGCGAACTTGCGCGAGTTCTGGGTAGTGGCTTCGCCGAAGCCGAGGGCCTGACCATGTGCAGCAGGGACATTTTGTGTCTGGGTGCCTAGGAGACCAAGGGCCGCTTGGGCGAACACATCGTTGGAGGTAGGCTTGGCTTCAAACAGGTCTGTCTTCCACTTGTCGATGAAGCCGGTCTCGACATCACCTTCGATAAAGGCCTGGCTGTTACAGAGTCTCTTGAGGAACTCAATATTTGTGCTCAGCCCGACAACTTCGTATTCGCGCAAGGCCAGTTCGAGCTTGCGGATGGCCGTCTCTCTGTCCTTGCCCCGGACGATAAGCTTGGCGATCATCCCGTCGTAGGCCTCAGAAACGGTGTCACCTTCTACGAAGCCGGCGTCAATGCGGACGTCTTCGTTTGTTGGAGGTTTTGAGAGGTGCACTAGAGTGCCTGAGTCAGGGAAGAAACCCTTCTCCGGGTTCTCAGCGTATATCCTGGCCTCGATGGCGGCACCTCTTTCCAGAATCCTGGCTTCGATTTCGTCCTGGGTCAAGGGAAGCTTCTCGCCGGCAGCAACCCTAAACTGCCACTCGACAAGGTCGGTACCCGTGACCATCTCACTGACGGGATGCTCTACCTGGAGGCGAGTGTTCATTTCCATAAAGTAGAACTCGTTGGTGTCCTTGTCCAAGATGAACTCGACGGTGCCGGCGCCCACGTAGTCCACAGCAAGGGCAGCCTTCCTTGCCTTGTCCCACAGATCTTTCCGTGTTACATCGTCCAACAAGGGTGCCGGGCTCTCCTCGAGGATCTTCTGATGTCTCCTTTGAACACTGCAATCGCGCTCGCCAAGGGCCACGCAGTTACCATGGCGATCAGCGAAGATCTGGACCTCGACGTGCCTGGGCCGCACAATGTACTTCTCCACGAGCATCACCTCACCACCTTCACCAAAGCTAGCGCGTGCCTCAGCCCTTGCGCTCTTCAGCTGGGCCTCGAACTCGTCCGCGGTGCGCACAATACGCATACCCTTACCGCCACCTCCCTTGACGCTCTTGAGCAAGACGGGGTATTTGATGTCGGCGGCCTTGGCCTTGAGCTGCTCGACAGACTGCTCGGAGCCATGGTAGCCGGGGACGCATGGCACGCCGGAGGCGTTCATGATCTCCTTGCTGCGGGCCTTGTCGCCCATGTCGGTCATGGCCTTGGCGGGAGGACCGACAAAGACAATACCGGCCTCCTCGCAGGCCTTGGCAAAGGCAGGGTTTTCGCTCAGGAAACCGTAACCCGGGTGGAGAGCCTGGATGCCATGTTGCTTTGCGAGCTCAACAATCCGTGGCCCATCGAGGTAGGCCGAGGGAGCGCCGAGGGAAAGGGCATAGGGGGTGCACTTGGCATGTTGGGAAGCGGCATCGATGTCGGTGTAGAGGGTCGTGGTGCGGATGCCCATAGAGGCTGCCGTTCGAGCAACGCGGAGAGCGATCTCACCACGGTTCGCAATGAGAACGGATGAAATGGGAGTTACCGACGTGTTGGTGCTGCCATTGATCGTGACTGTCGACGAGGTAGGGACGGTTGTCGAGAGGAAGCGGGCTCCCGAGCCAGGTACAGAGGTGGGAACGGCGCGCAAAGAGGCCGGGAGACGGCGTGAAGCCCGTTTGATGGATCGCATGGTGATTTTAGGATTGTGTAAGAAGAGATGGCTCAAGGAAACTTGCGATTCAGTTGCTCTCTCAAGGAGCTCCGAAAACAACAAACAAACTAAAAGAGTGAAGACGGAGAAGAGCACACGGAAACCGAAACAAAAACTGACAATAAGCCGAACAGAGAAATCCCAACCCGCCTCTGTCTGCTAGACCGTCACTGTCCTACCTTTTTCGAGATCTGGGTAGCGCTTCCCACGCCAATAGGTTATCGTCCATCTTCCCGAGGTTGAGACTGCCGTGTGAGGAGGCCCGACACTAGCCGTTGATCCCCTGCCACTTACAAGATCGGATTCGTCTTAGCCGTCAACCTCGTGACCAAAACCTCTGTTGTTGATGATTGCGGTTAGGTAGTGGATCTTGATGTACCATAATCCTCTTAATTACCACGCTTCCGGTGCGTTGCTTAGGCCATGGAAACCAGAAGCCGCAGAGGCCACTCCTTCTCAATCGTAACATGAAGTCGCGATGTCCTCGACCTTTCCCCAGAAAGAGGGTGAAAAGTGAAAGTTCGGGAAAACGTCATTTCAGACCGGGGTTGTGGGGTTCTGGTTGTTCTCCTCTTCCCCGCAATTTGAAGGCCCCATTCTTAGTGTACAGTATTGTCCCCTGATTCTGCATATAATCCTGCACCAAAAATTGTCCGAAATCAGTGTGCAGTATGCAGTTATGCAGTTGTAGCTGGGAATTAATTCAGCCAGCGAAATCCTATGCAGTAACTAGCGTATATGCAGTCCCTGGAGTATGCAGTTGCAGGGGACAATACTGTACTTAGTAAGGTACCTCAAGCTCCAACGGCAGGGATGTATTATCGCTCCCTTATCACCCAGGCTACAGGACCCACGCTGCTACATAGGTAACCTCAAGGTACCTATCGTCCAGGCAGGCATTCCTAGCACCAAGTTTACGTAAAGCGTCACCACCGGTTAGGTAGTGACAACAATCATCACTGGAAAGAATATCGAGAGAGCATGGACACGCAGTGAACAATGGTTCATCGCATCAGAATATATGGAAGCAACCCGTCCTCGTCATCTGGATCTTATAAGCTTCATACCTAGAGGTAGTTAAACGTTTCGCGCAAGCCAGCTTCACGTCTTATTGACATCGACCCACCCGAAACGGACGGATCCTCTGCTCCACCTGCGCGGGAGAAACCCATCATTCCACTTGGCGGACCGCCACCCCACAAACAACAACCACCACCTTGATGGCATAGACTCATCATAAAACACAACACAACATACCGACGACCAAACATCACTTTTATACACACATCGGGAAGAAAGTTTACGCCAGCAGACGCAATGAACCAACAGATACCTCTCAACTACGAGGCCTCGGCCGGCAACACCCACATGCGCATCACCAGCGAGCTCCCGCCCGAAGTCGTCCAATGTCTCGAGAACGCGCGCTTCCTCCACCTAGCCACTTGCGTCGACAACATGCCTCACGTCTCGCTCATGAACTACACCTACCTCCCCTCTTCGCCCTATTCCGACTCCCCCATCATTGTCATGACCACCAACCCCGCCAGCAAGAAAATGAACAACCTGGTCGCGAACCCGAACGTTTCCTTGCTAGTTCACGACTGTAAGCCCCGCAACCCAGAAGCCCTCCAACCATCCATCCCCTCTTCCCGTTTCCTTTCCGTCTCCCCTCCATCCAAGCAAAAGCCATAACTAACACTTTTTGATAAGGGGTCTCCCACCGCCCCTCCACCTCCCACCAGCGTCGTCCCTCCAGCGGTTCTCCCGGTCCCTCGGAACACCGCTCCTCTTCTCTCGCGGCCCTTCTCTTCAACCTCAACACCAGCGCCGTCTCCTCCATCAGCGCGACCATCAACGGATCCGCCCGGCTCGTCGACCGCGGCTCCGAGGAGGAGCGCTTCTATCGGGAGAAGCATCTGGAGAACAACACGTTTGACAGCGACCCGCAGCCGTCGTCGATTTTGAGCAGCATTCGAAGGGGCAGCACCGCGGGCCAGCCGACATCGATGTCGCAAGGTGGGCAAGGTGCGGGGGAAGAGGGAGATTATGGTAGGGAGAGATACGTGGCAGATGAGGAAGTGAGAGTGGTGGTGGTGGGGATCCGGGATGTCCGGATTGCGGATTGGAAGGGGACGGTGCAGGATTGGGTTATTGCGCCGCCGGAGGGAAGGAGTGAGGGGACGAATGAGACTTTGGTGAATGGTATCCGGTAGATTGAAGTGGTTTGATATGGGGACGGACCGGAAGGAACAGGGATCATTTAGTCTTGAAGTTAGGAAAGTATTGTGGTATGGTGCAACACTTGGACCTTTTAACCCATTGCTTCGAAAACTCTATTTCGAGACTCAAATATTAGAACGTATGGCTGAGAATATACATCTAGCCAGGACTTTTAGACACTGAAACAATGAAAAGCTCTCATTCTCAGGAGTCATGAGTTGTACATCCTAGCACCCGTTGTCCACTTCGTTAATCATACATCCTGATCCATTCTTCCATATCTGTCTAACGGCCAATAAACCTCTTTTCGGCTTTCCCCATCGACACTTGGAGTACCGTCTTCATATTATTCCTTTGCTGCCCATTTTCATACGAGCATAGGTCCTTCTCTTGGCTGGCCAAAAAAGCCAGGGAAGAGGCCCATCTCATATTCTCAACCGAAAACCATTACTTAATCCGAACGCCGACTGGTGCAGAGAATAAAACAATGTTACAATTTGCGCGAGATATCACACCAGGCAACGCGTCAACCCTAAAATGCGTTCCTCAAGAAAGACTTATGATGACGTGACGACGTAAATGCTCATGTGGAGTGGCGCTCATTTAAGCCGCCCACTCGACAACCTCAAGGGCGCACATGACCAACATGAGGGTGGAAGGAAGGATCCTAGTATTAAAATGTCAGTGACGGAACGTTTTTGCGGCATCACCAACGGGAGTTCCATGAAAACCTACCAGATGACGTAGCTTTGGAACAAGATCTTGCCCATGACTACCTCGTACACGTTGTTGATCTGGCAAATCTGAGCCAACTGAAGCGCGCTAGGCGCACCGGTAAGGAGGAAGCAGACGATGACAAAGATCGGGTCGTCCAGAATGCTGACAGGCACATACTTGGCGAAGAGCGCAAGAATGGGCGCCATGATTAGAGTTGGAAGGAGCATACGGCTAATCAGGGAAGCAACCAGCAGCTTGGTGCCAATCTCCTTCTCCTCGGCATCCACCTCATCACGCTTCTGCGTATTGCGAGCCAAGTTAGCTCCCAATACAACCAAGATCAAGGGGACAGCAACACCAGCGGAGGAGTTGATGGCGCTGGTGATACTAGTCTTGACGAATGTGTCGTCCTTGAAGAAGAGTTCCTGGAGATCGGGGATCGAGGCCACAATGACGGCAAAGAGCATAGCCCAGAGAGGTGGGTTCATGAACTCCCAGAGACCGGCACCGAAGCGGCCCATGCCGCGGTAGATCTTGATAAGCACAGTCTGCAGGGGAGCCGGAAGAGCAGAGAATACAGCATGAGCGACACCAGTGACGGAAGCCCACACTGATACAGCAGCCTTCCTGGCCAATGCCTTGACGCGCGCCGGGAAGCCTTTGGGAACCTCACGTTCATTCGCGTGACTGATGCGTGGAAATGACATTATTCCGTTGGGCCTCTCATTGCGGTCGGATACAGCGCTGTTGTCGTTGTTGACCTTCCGAATAGTATCCGAATCGTCATCGCCAGAATCACTAGGAGAGGTCCTTGACGACCCAATAACAGGAGTTCGACCTGCAGGCTCGTAGACTTCGGAGTTGTCGGACTGCGTTGTTGGGCTCCTATAACCGTGCGCGTAGCTTTCTTCGCCAATCTCGTGGGTGCTATCCAGCCCTTGAATAAGCTGCGCCGCTTCTTCGTCCTCATCCGGTTCGTCGCGGTACCGACCCTCCTCGATCGTTTCATTGTTGTATTCATCGTACTTGGACTTGGGCGCAAGGAGAACGTGAAACCCCCAGCTCCAGCGGACAAGCTGGCCAAGTTGCTGGAAGACCATCAGATACAGAATACCGCGTGCGGCAACCTCATCATCGTTATCACCCGGGATCCGGTCCCAATGCAATCCCTTCAAGGTTTGCGACAGCGAGATAACCAGGGAGATGGGCAACGAGTTGGAGTTGCCAAATACGCCCATGGCGGTGACGAAGTTAGAAGCGCGCTTGTTGAATCCGAAGCATTTTGCGACTCCCACCGAGACCATGTACGAGACGAACGTCTGGATCACGAATATGATGGGAATGACGCCCAGTTCAATCAGCTTATCGGCGTTAAGTTGAGATGCAAGCTTGGTGAAGACTGTGCCACCAACGTTAGCCAATGGCCCCCAAGATACTGTTTGGCGGGCGAAGAAACTACTACGTTGTATTGCGTGTGAACTCACTAAGACATGGCGTAAACAGCATTACGTTAAGGTTTGCCAAGAACTTTTGCTTCTCAGCGTCGAAGTGGCCAAGCCTGGCAATAATGTATCCCGGCAAACTGACGCATACTACCTCGAGGACGGCCCCGAAGACGAGGAGCACGATATGGGGAAGGGACGGATGAGAGTCATGTTCGCCGGGCGCGAAGACGGTAAAGGGTGCGGTAGTTGATATCGAAAAGTCGTTGAGCGAATCGCCAGCGGTGGTTACGGCCGTCCGCAATGACGTCGGCGATCGGATGTTGAGGAGACCCATCAAGTGTCACAAAATCGGCGAAGTCGATTCAAGCAACGGGTTGAGTAATGCCAACTGGAAGCGGACAAGAGCTTAGCTCTGTGTGGTTCGAATATGATAATTTGCGGTCTGGGAGAATGGATCGGAAGAGACCGCGGAGAGGTGGGGGTCGGGTGCTTTTGGTTTTTTTTTTTTTTTGGTTTCCAGCTCTGGGCTGAGGCAGGCAGGGTTACGTGGGTACCTCTAGTGTAAATCCTCGTAGTTTTGGCGCAGGCTTGCAAGGCTTTGATACAGTGACAGGTTGTAAGCGCTGGAGTCCGTGGTTTGCAGGGGCCGAAAATGCTTCCCTTGTTACCTACCTAGGTAAATGCAAAGATGATGTGATTAGTATGGACAGGAAGGCGTTTCCCAATGGCTTGACCAATTCTTTTGAAAGAAACTCTACGAAGGACGATGGGCTCCAACAACCGATGATGAGTCCTCGGACGCTCTTTGAGGCAGACGGGTTGAAAGATAAGAACAAGCTGGGGGGTCCGTGTTAGGTATGAGTGGCGGCTGGACCGCTGGAGGCTTTGAGATCTTGGAAGTCTTGGACTGCGTAGCTATCCCTCCGTGTGGCACACAGGCGACATCAGCCTAGCCCTTGGCTTCCGGTAGTGCCGCGGTGACTGTCAGGTGGAAAGTGCCGGACCGCCTCACGATGTGGGATGATTGGATCAGGATTGCATTCTGGCAATAGAAGAGGGAGGCAGCCACTGGATGCGGAACAAAGCGCAAGACGACGGATGGCAAGCGATAGAAGGGTACGTCAGCCGATTCAGACTCTGCCCCTATTTCCTCACGCGCTGGCATCTATCGCCAGGTTGTGGCCTAACAAGCCTCACAGACCTTCGGAAGTGTCGCCGAGACTCCGCTGAATTCAGTTGCGTGTCGAAATGCTGCTCTCCAACTCGTTGTCTGCGCTTTGGTCGGGTGCCAAGGAAATGCCAAGCCCTATGATATGTATTTGAACCTTTGCGGTCGGTTCCTGTGGCCCCTCGGGCTGTTGGCCCTTGTCACATACCGGAAAACATCAAACGCAAAGAGCCGGAAGAATGACGATACATGCCAGAAAGAGTGCAACATGAAACGAGCAGTGTTCCTACCCTCGCACGCCCTGCTACGTTATAACGGCCGGCCTATTTGCACTCAAACCCTTGTCTGCCAGGAACAAGCTGCTTACATTTCAAGTCTATGCAGCATCTAGACCGTTGGGACTCGAAAGGTCATCTCGTCGCCCTAGTACTACATACGCTATACATATCACGCTAGCAGGCATGCTGTTTTCAGATGTTCCTCTGGATTTCGATTTTGGAACAGGTGTTTAACGACTCCAGTTTTTACTCGTTTCGGATTCCACAAATGACGCGGTGTTAAAGACTTACAATAGATAGGAAATCGGATTTCCTGTTGGGTATTTCGCCGCACATGCGGCCCTTCGGACTGGTTGAGGGGCTGCACCTGTCACATGAATCATCGATTCTTTGATGGACGGGGAACTCGGTATCTCATGGACGATAACGTCGATTGGCAATCCATCCAATATGATGTGGATGCCCCAGGCTCGACTGTCAGCATTTCCGTCACCGAGAGCAGCATACCGTGTTGACATCGGCGCGAAGAGACCGACCGACGGTTATTCTACATGGAATATAAGATCCGTTTATGGATATGTACTCCAAACGGTGATGCTCTGTATGCTACGATTAGCGTGTTGTTGGACGTGTGATCGTAGTGTACACTACAGAGATGGAAGTTAACATGCGCTTCGCTTCTACCTCGGACACGGGATCGTCGGTGCAAGAGAGCTGGTGTTTGCAGATCGCACAGCGTGTTTCGTGTAAATCTGGCAGTGTAGGGTAGAATCCGCGAAACACCTTGAGACTTTGAAGTGCACCCTCGTCAAGACAAGCATGACAAGCAAGATCTACTTACTGACAAAGCAGGCAATCCATGTGCAAGTACATGGATGCGCTATGTGATCTGGCCATACAAATCTATCTCGAGGTCGAATATCTATCTCTACCTGTCCTTTTTGCCATTTGCCATGCACTACTATGTAGATTGCGCCCAATCGCCTGCCGGACTATAGTGTGCTTCCTCAACCACAGCATAGCGTTGGGCAGACTGTCCTTCACTTGATCCTGATTTTTGCCAGGCCGCTCTCTGCCATGACGCAAATGCCAGCCATGGGCGTCGGTCATTGCCATCACAGCCCAAATCATCGCGAGCCCTATACACGTGTTCCACATCTGACAGTACCCTAGCGGCAAAGACTACAAGCTGCGCTTGGATATGCCACAGTCGCCGGGGTAGTACACAGCAGTCACAGTCACCACCAGCACGAGAGTATGTACGCGATACCTTGCACTTTGACAAAACCCGGGCAGTGGTCTTGTTCCTGGCTGACTGGCTGCTGTCTGGTGCCAATAGCTCCCGCCGTAACATGCAAGTGCGCGCGAACCACGGCTCTTGTTCACTCTCAATCATCCCGATGCAGATGGGTGTACACCATAGCCCGTCAATGGTCCCTTCCCCCGCCTCCCCCACCCCCGGCCTGGGAGGTGACTTGATTGTTTGGCTGGCTCTCGCTGGCTCTCTCGCTGGCTTCCCGCGGCGCAGGCAGGATGATCCAGGAGACAACGTCATAGCAAGATTTCTCAAGATCCCTAGCTCCAATTGCCCCACTTTCCTT